GAGCGTTAGCTCATTCTTTATGTCTTGTGGTGTAGGTGACCATAACGATGCTTACGAGAAGGCTACTCGCAAAGATGGTGTTGTTGGACGCTTTTGGAGTTTATCGAAAGATGTACTTTCGTCTAGAAATTTAGGTCATAGGCTATATCTAGTACATGTTTTCATGTTATAATATGCTTTTGTTATAAATGTTGAATGTAATTAGTCTTACAATCGAGACAAGTATGTATAAATTTTTTTTGAAAGAAACAAAGTATTTTATCCAAAACTAATGTTACGTATATGTACATTGCCTTTAATATTTTTGTATCCTACGTAAAGCATTCATAATGTGTTCACGTAGTTAAACCTTTATTTTTTACTACGAAGCCACTAGACGGTAGGTTGTCATGAATTGAGGTAGATATAGGTTATCGTAGACGCGAGTCGCTCGGACGTAGTTTGCGTCAATAAAATTTCTAAGGCGCAACGTAAGCATTTTATGTCAATGAAAAAATGCCGGATATGAAATGAGTTTTTTAGTAGGCTTTCAAGCCAAATGTCTTTCGTTATACATTGCATGTCTCACGTTTGGTTTTAGGTTATAGAGCATTAACGAGCATTCGATGAGCGCGAGACCGGGTCGCGACGAGCCCGATCACTACCGGCCACTTGTGCTACGGTTGCGAGCCCAACCACTGCTTGGTCGTATATGCTATACTCGCATCCGAGTGCTTCACGAATGTTCAACGTCGTTGTAGCATTCCAACTTCCTCTCGTGGCTTGGGGTGCTACACACTTAGTAGAAAGGTTAAGTTGTATTATATGACAAAGATGGATGAGAGATCATGGCTAGAATCAAATAAGGAATGAAGCACGATTCCGTTGCTAAGAGTTTAGTGGCCCTAGTTAAAGAGGGCAAGATCAAAAATTTTAAAAGGAGGATGATATTCTTTACATGAAAAAAAGGATCTATGTGCATAAGTGGGAAAACCTTTGATGTGATCTAATGAAGAAATGTCATGATTCGATGTGGGTTGAACATTCATAACAAAAGCACACTAGATTCGTGTTAGAGAGAGAATATTTTTTGCCATAGTTACGTTATAATGTGAAGTCCTAAGTAAGAACGTACTCGTTGTGTAAGCAAAACAAGTTAGAAAATTGATTGTTCGGAGGTCTATTGCAATCTTTGTCTATTGCAAAGAGAACATAAGAGACAATAACTATAGACTATATAATGTTTTTTCCTAAATCAAAGAAATTTAGGAGCTTTATAATAGTCGTGAACAAATTCTCTAAGTGTGCCACTTTCATACTAATCCTAGTGAATGTGATAGTCAAGAACACCACTAAGCTACTTTTCAAACATATGGTGAAGTATTGGAGCGTGTTGCAGTACATAATCAATGATCAAGATCCTCAATTTATTAGAAAGCAATAGAATAAGCTATTTGAGTTATTGGGCTCGAAGCTCGTGTTACTTCACGAGTTTCACCCTCAAATAGATGGGCGGACTAAGAGGGTTAATCCATTGTTAAAGATATTTTTAAGGCACTTTGTGAGTGCCAACCAATGAGATTGGGCTAGGTAGCTAGATGTTGCCTAATTGTTTTATAACCCGTAAAAGAGTAAGTCTATTGACAAGAGTCTATTCGAGATCATGATAGGCCAACAACCTCTTACTCCAAATATGATGGTGCTTGGTGAGAAGTACCGAGGAGACAATCCGAGTGCATATTTGATGGCTAAAGGATGGTAAGAGCAAGTATACTTGACTTAAATGTATTTGAATAAGGCTACTAAAAAGATGAAGAAATGGGCTAGCAAAAAATGAAGAGATACCGCCTTTCAACTGGGTGACAAAGTTATGGTGAAATTGTTGTCACAACAACATAAGGCATTTTATAAGGTGTATAAAGGCCTCATACATCAATATGAAAGATCATTTGAGATAGTGCATAAGTTGAGAGAAGTGTCTTATTGTCTAGAGTTCCCATCGAAGTTGAAGATCCACCCGATGTTTCATGTTAATATGCTAAAGCCATACCATGTGGATGAGGAGGATCCAAATCGAGGAGTTTTTCATAGACCGTCTATAGTAGTAATTGACTTGTATGACAAATAAGTTGATATCATACTTGATGATCGCGCAATTAGAAATCGTGAAGCGCCACTAAGAAAGGAGTATTAAGTGAAATGAAAGCGATTATCAAAAAGCAAGGCTAGTAGGAACTCCGTCTGAAGCCTTGTGGCAATTCATAATGAAGGTCGAAGAGTATAATGAAAGTGCACCGAGGACGTCACCAATTAGATAGAAGAGAATGTTATGCTCTACACAAAAGAGAGATTTTTCTAGAGGTCAATCGAGAATGGTAGATAATTCGAAAGCCTCTAAAAGATTATGGAGTAATGAAAAAGCCTTTAGGGTGTCTATGAGAAATTTAGACATGTTCTAAAGCATTCTAAAGAGTCCCTCATTGTTCTAGCTTGTACATATCTAGATAGTTCCTTATAAATATCTAGGTAGGAGAATTTTAAAAAATTATTTATAGTCATTAGATCAAATAGATCCTAGCCATCCATTGAGAAGGTGGAGGACTATAAATAAAGGAAGAGGCCTTAATTTGGCCAAAGCATCCAATCCATGAGAGAAATACAATAGTTGTATTCTAAAAAAGTTATAAGATTTAGAGAGTAATACAAAGATTTTTTTATATCTCTTGTTCTAGATAATTCGAAAGTCTTTAAAAGATTATGAAGTAATGAAAAAGCCTTTAGGGTGTTTAAGAAAAATTTAGACATGTCCTGAGAGCACTATAAAAAGTCCCTCGTTATTCTAACTTGTACATTCTAGATAATTCCTTGTAAATATTTCAATAGGAGAATTTAGAGAATTATTTGTAGCCATTAGATCAAATAGCTCTTAGCCATCCATTGAGAAGGTGGAGGACTATAAATAAAGGAGGGCTTCATTTGGCCAAAGTATCCAATCCATAAGAGAAATACAAGAGTTGTATTCTAAAAAAGTTGTAAGATTTAGAAAGCAATACAAAGAGTTTTTATATCTCTTTTGTGTCTTTCTTATTTAACAACTTTGTATGAAAGAAGGCTGACTTGATTTGATTTAAAAGAGAAATGAGCCAATTGTCGCACGAGAGCTTGAGAAAGTCCAAGTCCATGAAAACACAATCAGTATAACAAGTTGATTAAACTTAATCTCGTTATGGAAAAGTTTGCTCTAAAAAGTCATCCGGCCAATAAAACATATGGATAGAATAAATAAATAAAAGAAAAGGAAACCCATACATTTCGTCCATTCCACAAATGACCTTATAGCTCATCAATATTCTCAAAAAAAAAAATGATCCATATTCTTTTTGAGAGAGAGAGAGAGAAAGCGAGAATTTCATAATTATAATTTGATAGGAAATGGATCATTTCTGAACAATCTAGAATTTAATAATCTGTGGACGATAAGTTTAGCTATAAATCCTGGCAGCCAGCCAGCCTTACAGATGATAATCTTAAACAAAACGTTAGTAAGTCACTTTGGCTCTTGTTTGTTTTTCACGCTTTTGCGATCCCTCCTCCTTGGACACAAACTATATTGACCACTTATTTTTGCAATTGTTTGTAGGCAGTGACAGGATGATTTTGACTTTAGGGTCTCCAAGACAAGAGTTTGATTACCTGTATTCTATCACACATATCTGTCAGAAAACAATGGTCATTTTGTTCAAAGCTATCATGGAGGTGGTGGTGCTTCAGTCCAATTGACACCTACAAGCTGATTGTATCACTAACATATGTTGTATTTATAAAACAAATTAACTAATTGAAGGTATAAGACAATCATTTTTGGTTCCTCCCATTTTCCCTTCCCTCTTTATTTATTTCTTAGCTTAATTTTGACTTCAAATTTCCTTAACTATTACTACTCAATCAACAAAAGTTAAAAGTGACCATAATTTGTGTTAATTATCTCTCTGCACATCAAAGCAAAACAAGCCTACCAGTTTCATGGTAGCAGCAGCCTATTATTTTTTAGAACTAAATTATTTTTCAGTCCCTGTGTTTTGAGAAAAATAATTAGTTAGTCCCTCTAGTTTAAAAAGCCCAACATCACATTTCTTTGCTTTAATTTCTGTTTATAACTTAGTCTCTTTGCTAATACACCAGGCTTAACCCCTCCCTATTCGCAAGAATGTCGAGAAAAAACTTGTTTAAGATCTTATATGCTTGCTTAATAGTATAAAAACCAATTATTGTCGATTGTGAATTTATCATTTAAGATGTCGTTAATTTAATTATTTTTCTTTCTAAAATACCATTTTGTTTATATATTATTGAAAGAAACTTGAAATAGTTCATTATTTTCTAAAAAACCAACGGATCTTTAAAAGAATAACTGTTATAGATGATTAATGTGTTAAGGGAGTAAGTTACGATTTTTGAAACTATAGGGCCTAAGTTGTTATATTGCTAACAACTCATATACTAGATTATTCTTTGTTTCCTATAACTAACGCCATTCCAGCGATCAGATTATTAGAGCTAAAATCTCTGTTCACGTCCTTCTTTCATCTCCTCCTTCAAACAATAGACTCCGTCTCTATCCCTACCTAAAATCAGTTATTACATATTTAGTTCATAGGTTCCTTAATCTCTCCATTGAGTCCTGGATTAGTTATTGCCTTCTGTTTCCAAGTCCTTATCTTCACTTTTCGCTGTTCCCCAAGATAGAACTGCCCTTTTCTGATACTCTTTAGTGCTTCCTTTCTAATTTTTAGATACCAAAGTCTTCTATTTTCTGCTTGCTATTATGACTTTTAAATGTAGCTTTTGTTAGGTTCCAATTTTGAATTCTTCTTTTTTTACAAGAAAACCTCAAAGTTTGGCTGGTTGGCTGCCTTCAATATTTTATCAGACCACTGGTTCTATTTATTCTTGAGATCATCACTGTTATTGTTATTGGGTTTGAATTATTTTCTTGGTTTCTTGGAAGGGTAAATCAAGAAATGGCAATTGAACTTTGTTCAGATAGTTCTGCTGGTGTTAGTCCAAGAATTTCATTTTCTCATGATCTTTGCGTATCAGATATTGTTCCTGTTGAACAACGCCCTCTTCGACCAAGTTCATTAGGTAACATTGATTTCGACTTCTGCGTTCGAAAGAGTTTCGATCGAGATTCATCGCCCGCGGACGAGCTTTTCTCTGATGGAAAAATTCTTCCTACTGAAATCAAGAAAAAGAAAGCTTCTGCGAAACAAATCGATCCATCTATGCCCCCAGGACAAGCCCTACAAGATGATGTTTCGAGTAATGATGGTTTCAAGAAAGATTGCTTGAATGAAATGAAGAGTTCAAGTTATGAAGCAGAAGATCACAAGCACAGTTCAAAGTCATTTTGGAGGTTCAAGAGGAGTAGTAGCTTGAATTGTGCTAGTGGTTACGGAAGGAGTCTGTGTCCTTTGCCACTCCTTTCGCGAAGCTATTCTGCAGGTTCTACACCAAGTAGTAAGCGAACAACATTAACCAAGGATACTAATCATAAGCAGCATAAACAATCATTTCTCAAGCCATCACAATCGTCGTCTTCCATGAATTATCAGAAGCCTCCATTGAAGAAGAATTATGGACCTTATGGCAATGGCGTTCGCATTAGTCCGGTTTTGAATGTTCCATCAGGGAATCTATTTGGTCTAGGTTCAATCTTCTTCAATGGCAAAGATAAGAACAAGAAGAAGTGACTAATTACACAATATGTGCTTTAATTAGAAACTACTTTCAGCTTAAATTGAATGTTTTTTTGGTGTGTTGATGTTTTTTTTTTTTTCTTCTTAATAGTTGTTTACATGATTTACCATTTGAGTAGTGCTAAAGATAGGAAATTTGAAGAGATCAGTGCCATGAAGACAAAGAGATTGAAAAGTGGAAGGGGTTGAGGGTCCAAAAAATGATGTAATTCAAGGCACATGGTTTTGGAGCACAAAATGACAGGTAACCATTGCTCTCATGGTTGTCCCATTTTGTGTCTGCTTTTGGTTTTTCTCACACATGGTGTAAATAATTTGATTTTGGTTTCTTCTTTCATTTTATACAAGAAGAGATTATTTAAGTTTGTGGGTGTAATTCTAGTACATGAAATGGTGTCTCATTGTTTTCGGTTGGGGAGAACATGAGTTGGTTGTTCTTGTTCGGAAGTTCAAGATTTATGACAAAACAATTGTAATTACCAGTTTCAGGATGAATCTGAACAACATGCAATAAATATGCCTGCCAACTTGCCCTTTTTCAGCCATGGTATAAGAGAATGGCAATTATTTTTATTTGAGCCTCTTTACATGTTTCTTTTTTAGGAAGGGTTTCCAATTTTGTGCTTCGATGACTTGAGTTCATCTTTTTCAATAGCAAAGATAAGGAGATCGAAAGTAGGTGTCGTTTTTATTTGTTTGTTTTGTTCCTTCTCTCCCTGCCTGCTTGGCAACTACCTAGTTATCTTTAATATTGTCAAGAAAGCCTACTGTATCTGTATGAACTACAAAGACAGCATTTCAGACCTGAAAGAGATGGTAATATGCATGAATGGAGGGCCAAGGGATCGAAGAGCTTAATAATGGCACATGTTGTGGGGGCACAAACAAAGACACGTACCCTTAGTTCATGCTTGTCCCATCCATTTTGTATCTTTATCTCATGTTCCTGGTGTATATACTTCAACATTGCTTCCTCTCCTCCAAGTGCTCATCAATCTTTGTTATGTTTTGCCAGGTTTTGACATGGTGTCTTCAGCTTTTCAGTTCCCTTCTCAAGAAAAATAACCAATGTTTACAACAACCGTGTGGATCCCAGTTTTCAGAACCATCCTGCCAACTACATTAGAGGTAGCATAATTCAAGCAATAAAGATTCCTACCTTACGCCTGAATTGTATATAAGAAAGCTCAACAACTAATTTATGGTCTGCATTGACTTCAAGTTCTACCTAATACGGAATTCTGATTGTATAACAGTCTTCTAGTAGTGGTACCAGTGTATGAGTTGTCCCATCCACATCGTGTACAATTTACCCCTAAAACCACATCTTTCAACGATTTGAACCGCAATAATATGGGAAGAGAAAGCTGGCATCAACAGCTTTTTTTTCCTCTAAAGGGTTAGAACTTTGAATCCAATTCAGGGACTGGTAGTTCTGTAGTCTGGTCCTAGGGCATCAGTTCTGCCAATGTGGAATGGTCTAATGAAGCAGGATGTCCTGCGGCTACATCGTACGACAAATGTGGAATGGTCTAATGATGCAGGATGTCCTGCAGCTACAACATGTGAACTAAGAGGACAAGATGCCCTCTTTGTTGGTGACTTTTTGATGCAAGTAGCTAAAGGTGGACAAATCAATAAATATGGCCTTTATGATGTTTGTCAAAAATGGACCGCTTCTCCATTTATCTAGTACGAACTCATCAAAGTTCTATTACCATGCTTGTTACTGTCAAGGTTGAAACTTTTGCTCTTGTTTGAATATGACTTTCGACTGTAATGGAGTAAATAAAAATCGCAACGGACATACATAAAGCTGCCAAGGTAGAGATTGAATCTTTATCTCTCAAGGACTACCTGGATATCGATGAACTTGACAACGTAGATGGGCTTGGATCACGCAAGAAGTTTCACCCACCGTTTTACCTATTGATCACATAAGTTCTGCTATGTTACTGCTTATCTGCTTCGGAAAAGAACTTGAAAATTTTATAGTAAAAAAAACTATATTTTACCAAAAAGTAATTCTGTGTTCCAACCTAATGGATCTGTGTATCCAATGGCCACATAAAACCAAAGAATTCTGTGTTCCAATCTAATGGTTTATCCACTTGAAACCAAAGAAAAAGTTGCCAGCTCTGTACTCAGGGACCGACCAGATGGTAGCATTACATGTGAATAATTCAAATCGGCTAATGTCCATTGAACTGCAAAACAGGACTTCTCCAGTATCTGAACACTTGGATTCTCTGAAAAATTCTTATCTTCTGATTTTTGGTTTCTTTCTCTTGATTAGTTATACTTCATCCACCTTTTTGGTTTTTTGGTTTTTTTCTTTTTTCGTTTTTGGTATAATTCTAAAGCCAATTATGAGGCCTAGTCAATTTATATCTAGCATCATCCTTATTGATTCCTATCACGATGCCAAATGCAAAACGACTAAGAGGGCAGTGTCTTGTGTTCCTGTCCTACACAACAGCTCAAAACAAGACTTCCTAGAAGAAGAAACAGCTTGCCGTTCCAGTAACTCAGGTTGCCGGACTCATGACACCCTTTGTCGCAAACAAGACTTGTTCTTTTCAAATCTCTTGATATTTCCTCTCGTACTAAATGGAACAAGATTTCTTTTCAGTCTGTTTAAATAGCTCCATTTTCTACTTTCTTCAACTTGAAAAGTAATGATGTCAAACCTTTTGAACATGTTGTAAATAGAATCCATTTTCCATCTCCTAGCCAGCTTACCATTAAAGCCATTTTCTTCAACTACAGGAGAGCAACGATTGTGTTTTCTTGAAAAATTGTGAGTAATGGCTAATGAATTATGGTTGAATGATTCTTATACGAGTCCTAGAATCTCATTTTCTCGTGATTTTTCCGAAACAGACGTTGTTCCCATAGAACGACGCCCTCCCCAATCAAGTTCGTCAAATTCTGATTTTTGCTTTCGCAACAACCCCATCAATCTTGAGTCTCCAGCGGCAGACGAGCTTTTCCTCAATGGAAAGATCGTCCCCATTGAAATCAAGAATATCGTTTCTCCCTCAGAACATGCACTAGAACAACCTCTAAGTCCACCACCACAACCGTTTCTTGATGCTACTACCATAATTAGTAAAGATTCAAGGCGTGATCAGGGCTCGAAGGTAATGAAGATCAATTCAGGTAAAGAAAAAGCAAGGGTCAAGGATTTGCATCCTTGAACGAGCATTTCCTTAACGGGAAAATCATTATTCCTGTCAAAATCAAGGAAAAGAAAAATATTCCACCTCTAGGTGCATTTCTTGATGCTGATGATGACATTGATGAAGATATTAGCGAGGGTTCAAATCATGGGATGATCAAGACAGCAAAAATTGAACCGGCGGACGGCCACGAGAAACCAAACTTGATACCATCTTCACGTTTCAAGAGGAGCAGTAGCTCGAGGTGTGCTAGCATGTATGGGGGGAGAGCATGCCCTTTTCCATTACTTTTTTGTCGAAGCAATTCTGATGTGTCTGAACCAAATGTCAAGCGAATGCCACTGTCAAAAAGGTTGTCAGGATCATAAGATGAATTCACGGAAATGAAAGCTGCTGCGGTTTTCTCCTCCACTAGATCATTTAATGTGATTTACCACTGAATTAAGAAGGAAAGAATTCTCATTTCCTTCTTTTATCACTTCATATTTTATATAAGTTACATTAGCCTGATCAGTGCGTCTAGCTATTGAGTTCATAGATCAGATTCACAGGGAGAAGTTAAAAAAAAAAAACAACAATTTTAAAAAGGCAAATGTGCACTAGTTTTTTAAAGGATCATAACTTCAATTCGGATGTTAGTTGTGGAAAATCATTTAATTCTAAAAGTTTATTCAGACCACAACATAAGATAAGGGTAACAGTTGTCAAAAGCGGTTTTCAAAGTTAATATCCACTTTTTGTGATCCAAATTCGTAAAATCAGTTTATATTACTCCAGTTTAAAAATTAAAACCTTCTGTTTTGTTTATTTTTTGTAATTTTCGTACTTCAAGAGTTAGTTTCCAGTTTCTAGTTTAGTTCTTAGTTAACTAGGACAGACTACTTATATTGTTTGTAGACTTCGGCCACTTTTATCGTATTATTTATAAATATTCAAATTTATATATTTTTCACCGTTTTTATGTTTTTTTTTATATTATTAGTATGATTATCCGTAAATCCATTTTGTTTCACAATGGAAAATTCCCCATGGCTCTAAAATACACATGCCACGATGCAACTCGAATTCCCAATCACAGAATTGTTACACACAAACCATCCATTTTGATATCTAAGAAAACAAACATTTTCATAGTTTTTTTTTTCCAAAATTTCACTTATTTTGTTGCTGGGCTGATTTTAGAAAACGAGGCTTGGGCTTTCGGCCCGCTATTATAGGATTGGAATTCAGGCGTTTGATTTTATTCCTGGTGGACCGGTTGTTATATTATGGACTAACTTAATTTAGCTGTGGTCCAACTTAAGTCTGGTTGTGGCAATAAAGAAAATTGTGTGAATTTGATTTGAAATTTGGGCCTCCTGTTGGATTGCAATGTGGGCAACGTAATATTTTTTGAAAATGGACTTATAAGGCCCAATAGATAAAAGAGTAGGAAAAAAAAAGCTAGGAAAAAAGGAACTTCTTATAGAGGAACAATTTTTTTTTATTAAATAAAAAAATTGCATTTCATTGGGGATGTAAATGAGAAATGAAAATTTGAACAATGGTACAACAGCACTTATTGAAAGGCTGAAGTTGAACATTCCTACCTGTTCTGACTTTTGAGCCAAGCTGTAATAATGGGCTTTGGCTGATTCATAAATTAATTTTTTATTTGTAAAGAAGAAAAAATTCCAAGAGTTTACTTTGGGACTCACCACCTTTGATTAAAAAAAAAAAGTTACTGTTTAGATATTTCGGCTGGATGGCGTCGTAAAATCTTGACATTGAAAGAAGGACGGCATTGTAAAGTCTTCATATGGAAAGATTTAATACTGCGTCATGGGTGAATTATGGACATTAATTAATCTGAGCAAAAACACAAGTTGCAGAGAATGCAAAAGAAAAGTGAGAGCAAAGCTACACAGAAAGGTCATGGCAAATAAGAAAGTTTTAAGTATGCGTCGTCAACCTTGTTAATCTCAACCTAATGGTGATTTTAATCTCGATTGAGATGAAATTTTAATCCACTCGTCTCTATATACTTAGTAATCGGAGTAGAGTTTAGAAAAATCACTATATTAGTCAGATCCTTTTGTAATTCTATTATTATTAATAGTAAAAAAAAATATTTTTTTTGGATTAAAGTTGCGCGGTTTTTCTTCTTAATTATTAATGTAAAAAAATTCTTAATGTTGTATGTGCTTGTTTTCGTGTTTATTTTTATTAAACAAAAATTGATTTTATAGAGGAAAATTAAATTATTATGTGTGTTCCAACCCTAACAAGTATTAATAAATAATGAAAAAGAGGGAATGGATTCTAATTCTTAAAGTAGATTTTGGAACATGCATAATTCACAACCATTTCCATAGTTTTTTTTTTTTTTTTTTTTGAGACACTTGAATTCCTGAAGCTATCCAATGTTCATGTGTAAAAACAACCTTTCAATTGTCTGGATTCCAAACTTCCAATGGCTTGATCTCCCAACGGTGTGCGGGACGTATCAATGGGCTTCAGATTGTAAAGCAAGCAAACATCATTTTTATGCGAGTCATTTCTAAAATGCCATTTATTTTGTTGCAATTCAATGCAATTCCTCTGTAAAAAAAAAAAAAAAAAAAAACCAAGAGAATTGTTGAGGATAATTTGTCTTTGACTTGGACAGAATTAATAAATGAAAATATGGGCAGGAAATGCTTTTGCATTGACTTCAACGCCCACAATCGCAAGTAACACGCAATTTGTTTTCTTTTTATTTTTTATTGGGCGTTTGGAGTGCATGATCTCAGTTAGACAGCTAGATCTGAAAAATCTAGATGTTTAAGAAACTTCAGTTAGAATTTTGAGAAATCAATTAAGCTCCTGTCACGATCTCATCTTCTACTCCTATACATGTCCGTGTGTGCATGTGATGAAAGCCAGATATGAACATTTTAGATGTTTTTTATTCGGATATTAGAGCTTATCTACTTGGTCTTATACCAGAGAAGGGGGAAAAAATATTATTTAGTGGGATTCCTTGCAAAATTGGACTTTGAAAATGTCTTCGGTTCATAAAAGCCAGTCATTTCTTGGCACCAATTCAGACTTAGGTGGTGTTTGATAAAATTAAAAATTAAGTATTGAATCTATTAAGTATTGAATTTTAAATCTGAATCATAAGATCGAATATGTTCTCGATAAGTTCGTTTGGTATTAATCGAAAATTAAATCCCGAATATAATAAACACTGTTTGAAGATGATAGAATATATATGATTTTTTTAAAAATTTTAGTTTGAACATATGTATTTGATTATATTACTCTTATTATTTAAAATTTATTTTTTTCAATTATTTTTTCTTATTAAAATTCTCATCAAATTAATTTTTGATATAAGTTTATTTGTTAATAAATTTAATTTTTTAATATATAAATTTTAAAATAAAATTTTATAACCTCCATGTTTTATTTTTTTAAAATATGACGTAACAAAATAAAACATCTTTTTCGGCTCTACCTTTTCAATCAATTACATCAGAGAAGTAAGCGATTTACTGCTCCGAGTGCATCATAAAACATTGTTTATCCTATCTTCAACAATCAATTTTACTAAAGGTCCCAAGATCAGTATCAAAATGGTAATGCCTGGCATGAGTTCATGCATATCGTGGCCAATCTTCTTGCAAACAACTCTGCTGATCTCTTTTTCCTTCTCAATAGATGGAGGAAACGAGACCGACAGACTCTCCCTACTAGCTTTTAAAGCTCAAATAACTGGTGATCCCTTCGGTAAGCTAAGCTCGTGGAATGAATCCTTGCACTTCTGCGAGTGGTCAGGTGTTACCTGTGGACGTCGGCATCAAAGAGTTGCAGAGCTTGACCTACACTCCTGCCAGCTTGTGGGCAGCCTATCTCCCCACATTGGCAACTTGAGTTTCCTCAGGGTAATAAACTTGGCTAATAATAGCTTAAGCCATAACATCCCCGAAGAGTTGGGTCGACTGTTTCGGCTGGAGAGGTTGGTCCTGAGGAACAACACGTTCGATGGTGGAATCCCTGTCAATATCTCGAGCTGCGCTAATCTCCGAATCCTTGATCTGAATAGAGGCAATTTGATAGGCAAACTTCCTGCAGAACTTGGGTTTTTATCGAAGTTGCAGGTACTTATTTTTGAGCTTAACAATTTTGTTGGCGAGATACCATATTCTTTCGGAAATCTGTCAGCTATCGAGAGAGTTTATGGGTCCCTAAATAATTTGGAAGGAAGTATTCCAAATGTTTTCGGACAATTGAAACGCTTGAAAATATTTTCAGTTGGTGCAAATAATCTGAGTGGCATGATCCCTCCATCTATATTCAATGTCTCTTCTCTTACTCTTTTCTCTGTGCCAGTTAACCAGCTGTATGGGGGTCTCCCTCCTGACTTAGGCCAAACCCTTCCAAACCTTCAAGTGTTTAACATTCACACTAACCAATTCAGTGGACTAATTCCGGAAACTTTCTCTAATGCCTCAAACCTCCTTTCTTTTCAAGTTGGAAAAAACAACTTCACTGGGAAAGTTCCACCTCTGTCAAGCTCCCATAATTTGCAAGTTTTGGGTGTTGGTGAGAATAATCTGGGAAAAGGTGAAGATGATGACTTGAATTTTGTCTATCCTCTAGCAAATAACACAAGTTTGGAGGCTTTGGATACAAGCGATAACAATTTTGGGGGGCGCTTCCTGAAATAGTAAGCAACTTCTCCACAAAGCTCATGAAGATGACATTTGCGAGAAACCACTTGCGTGGTAGCATTCCAACTGAAATCGGTAACCTCATCAACTTGGTGGCTTTAGGCTTGGAAACAAATCAATTGACTGGCACTATACCAAGTTCTATGGGCAAACTACAAAAATTGAGTGATTTATTTCTTAATGGAAACAAAATCTCAGGGGGATCCCATCTTCACTGGGGAATATGACTTCTTTAGGTAGAGTTAACATGAGACTCAATAATTTAGAGGGAAGCATTCCACCAAGTCTGGGAAATTGGCAGGGATTATTGTCCTTGGCTCTCTCGCAAAATAATTTAAGCGGTCCCATACCGAAAGAACTAGTAAGTATCTCAGCCTTATCAATGTATTTAGTACTATCAGAGAATGAGCTGACAGGATCCCTTCCTGCTGAAGTGGAGAAGTTGGCGAATCTAGGATATCTAGACGTTTCTAAAAACAGGTTGTCTGGCGAAATCCCAAGAAGTCTTGGTAGTTGCAGGAGTTTGGAGAGTTTGCATTTGGAGGAAAACTTTTTGCAAGGGCCAATTCCTGACACTTTGAGTTCTTTGAGAGCAATTCAAGATCTTAATCTCTCCTATAACAACTTGACTGGCCAAATTCCTGAGTTCTTGGAAGACTTTAAGTTATTGGAGAGTTTGGATCTGTCTTTTAATGACTTCGAAGGTGAGGTGCCTGTTGGAGGAGCGTTTCAGAATACAAGTGCAATTTCTATTCTTGGAAACGAGAAGCTCTGCGGAGGAATATCTCAGTTACATCTGCCCAGATGCAAATCCCGTGACTCAACGAAGTCGAAATCTTCCAGCCAGTTGGCATTGATAATTGGAATTGTTTGTGGCTTTCTCGGAGTAATCCTGATCACCTCTTTTTTACTTCTATACTGCTTTAGGAAAAAGAAAGATAAGCCTGCAGCTCCTCAAACTTCATGGGAGGCCTCGTTTCCTAGAGTAACCTATGAAGATCTACTTGAGGCGACTAATGGGTTCTCTTCAGCAAATTTAATTGGTGAAGGTAGTTTTGGATCTGTCTACAAAGGAATTCTGGGACCAGATGAAACAGCTGTTGCAGTGAAAGTTCTCAACCTTCTACGTAAAGGAGCCTCCAAAAGTTTTCTGGCAGAATGTGAAGCTTTGATGAACATCAGGCATCGGAATCTTGTCAAGGTCATAACTGTATGTTCTAGCATTGATTTCGAAGGTAACGATTTTAAAGCTCTAGTTTACGAGTTCATGGCCCATGGAAGTCTAGAAGAGTGGTTGCATCCAGTTCACAAATCAGACGAGGCACACGAGCTGAAAATGTTAGATCTCATTCAGAGGTTAAACATTGCAATTGGCGTGGCTAGCGCGCTTGACTATTTGCATAACGATTGTCAAATGCCAATCGTACATTGCGATTTGAAGCCGAGCAATATTCTTCTAGACACTAACATGACTGCTCATATCGGAGACTTTGGATTAGCAAGGTTCCATCCAGAAGCTTATCATCAATCATCCTCCAATCAAACTAGCTCTGTTGGTTTAAGAGGCACCATCGGCTATGCAGCCCCAGGTAACATTCACAGGTTTTCACTATCTGCCGATTCTGACATTTGCATCCTGATGAAGATTTAGAGTGTTAAGAGATTAACCATTTTCTGAATCTTATTACTAGCCTCCGAGGTCATAATAACTTTGTTCACGATCATGTTTATTGATCGCAGAGTACGGTATCGGAGGAGAGGTGTCCACTTATGGTGATGTGTACAGCTACGGCATCCTATTGTTGGAGATGTTTACAGGAAAGAGGCCTGTAGATGGCATGTTCAAAGACGGGCTGAACCTTCACAATTATGCGAAAATGGCTCTGCGAGACCGCATTGTCGAAGTTGTGGATCCATTACTTCTCAGTGAAAACACAAGTGTTGATTCCTCCTCTGATAAAATGAACCTGAACTATATTGAAACGCGCAAAATTTTGGAATGTTTGAATGCTATAATCAAGGTCGGAGTCGCTTGTTCAGCAGAATTTCCAAGAGAGAGGATGGACATTACCGATGTTGTGGCTGAACTGCATCGAACAAAGACACTCTTCTTGGAACTAGGATGCACAGACAACATGAAGTGATTTTCTTAACAGAAGGTAAGAGTTCTCTCATTAATTATGCTAATACTCAAACCAAGATTATAAAGGGTAACAAAGATAGATCCATCAATTGTATTTAATGTTTACTAGTCATCTGTTTGTGTACTGCAGGTGCCTGTGGGGATCAAATTGCCAAATCCAAAAATGTCCAAGAGGGAGTAAAGGTGCAAATATCAATAGTTATGGGCGTGGAATGACATTACAGATGCATAAAGATTTGCCTTGTTGTATATCTCTGCCGTTGTTTGCTCAAGCACTTTCATATGCGAAATAGAAGCGAAAACTGAGAACTTGTAATATAACGATAAGCAGTAAACTTTCTCATTTCCTCAAAATTTCTTGCTGTCAATCTTGGCAAAAATAAAATAATATATATATGCTATTTCTTTATTGGACTTATTTCGGAAAATGAGACCATTGAATGGTTAGGCTTCGGCCTTTTGTCATTCTAATTTCTTGCCCTCTTTTCTTGGTATTATGGGCCAATTCTGGTTATGTTTTGAGTCAACTTTTAAAGAAAATTGGGTGACTTTCCATTGCAATTTGGGCCAGTTTTGGGCGAGGAATGTGTTTTAAAACTTGACTTTAAAGCCCAAATCCAATAAACTTGACAAGAGAAAACGGATAGAAAACATAAAAACGAGAAATGAAAAAAAAATAAATAAATAACGAATGATCTTCAACTCAAATGCTATTATTGTTTTTTTTTTCAATAGATTTTCGAATTTGAATTTTTCCTTCATAACCAAGAAAAATTAAAAAAAAAGAAAAAAAACAGACATTTGTCCCAAAAAAATCCTACCATGTTTGAACAGAATTATACAAATATGAAACCCAAGTTTTCATGTTTCCAATTCCTTCGAACGAGCAATACGAAGCCAGTGTTGTCATGTCTTTCAATGTCGAAGAGTACCTAAACCTTTTTCTTGATGTGTCAATAAATAAATACATTTTCTTGTCCTTAATGCTTAAAAGTAGCTTTAACCCTAATTTCATCTGAAAGTAACTTTCTTAAGGCCCATAAAATAAGCAATTCAAGCATTGCTTTTCCAAAAGAAACAAATAGAGTATGGAGGAGCTGGATTAGTTGAATCTAACATTTGTCATGATTAGCTTTTAACCAACACGAGGAGTAGTCAGAGAAGTCTTAATTAATGACTTATCAAATCAAACAGGGGGATCTCACCATGCCGACAAGACACAGCATCTGACTCTAACCAGAGGATGTAGTGATTTTAGCTGTCTTTTTCCTTTGTGCATTACATACATGAAACAGGCCAAGCTCCTTTTTGTACATGTCTCTGTCCACACTCTTAATCCACTATCTATTTCCATATCTCTCTCTCTCTCTCTATCTCTCTCAAATAAGTAATTCGAGTTAACGCTCTTTAAATGAGTAAATTATAAATTAGTCCCTCTAGTTTCATGAAACAAATTAATTAGTTATTCTTATTTCAAAAATTATTATTTAATTTTTTAATATGTTGACCTTATTTAATTTAACATTATTTTTATTTTATAAAAACTCTTATTTTCCCATCGATCTTTTTATATTTTTTTCTTTGTTATTAGATAAAAAATCAAAATAAATTAAAAATAAAGAAAACTAACTAAATTACGAGCAGATTTCAAAACATAGAAATAAAATAATTAATTTTTAAAATAAGAAGGATTAATTTATAATTTACTCCTCTTTAAATGTATGAGTATTCTCCTATTTAGACTCCATATTGTTTAAAAAAGAAATTAATTGAGATTCTCTTTTCTTTTTTTTCTTGCTTAACTGAAATTTTTTATTTATCAAAATTTTTTGTTTCCGACCTTATATTATAATGTTGTCAATCAATAATCAATACTTAATATTATAAAATAAAAAAATTCAAAAAAAAAAATAACTTGTCCATTACTGATTGATAACTTTATAATAAAAATTCTAAAGGAAAAAATTTTCAACAATAGAAGGTGTTAATCAAGGCAAAATATATATATATATATATAGGGATTTCAATCAATCAAACTTAATGAATATAAAATTAAAATATCTAGTAAATCCTGAATAAACAGATAGCTAGTTTGGTGATGGTTCGTAAAGACGTAGAAAGGAAATCCTTGTACATTGGAAGGATCTGAACGTGGGACTTCAACCATTTCTCTTGTTTCTTTTTTTTTTTTTTATTATGTGACTCACTTAACTTTGTATTAAAAAGACAGAAGTAGGTAGGTCCTATTTACCAAACTTTGGACCAAAATATTTGTTTATCCCATGCCTCTGGGTTTCTGGAAACGGCATAGAAAATTGCTCAATGGTTTCCCTTTGCTTGGTGGGTTAACTCCATTTCAATGAGTGAACCCATTTTTCTTGCTTAGGACTTGTTTTGGCTTCAATGCAAGTGGGTGTGAATTACTCAATCATGACAAGTATAGTGCATGGAAGACATTTCAGGGATTAAGGGATTTTTTCCTAGATTTTTGCTCAAATGATGAGAGTAGTTGGTCCAATGTTTCCTAGGCTCTTATAAATTTGTGGAGTAAGATAGATGAGTGGATACAGTTTGACTTATACTTTATATAATGTCCCATTTCAAGTTCAGTATTTTCTAAAAATGGTCATATGGATAGCCTAATCATGCTTTTGATATTAAATATTTTATCTTTAATTATATTCATTCATATTTGAAAAGATTTCAATATATCTATATCGTAATAAAAATTTATAATATATTTGTAAATGTTATTAATTAATCGTGTAAATATTGTCACTTCAAAAAATCATTAACAAATTGACAAATAAATTGTTAGTCTAAAGATAAACGGACTAGTGTTCAAACGAATTTTACCTATTATGCGAGTTTGAATTATGAAATCGTATTTATTAAAATATGTTAAATTTTATAACTCTTGTTTCAAATAAGAGTAGTCATATTTCAAACATAAAAAGAAAATACTTAAAAAAAATTATTATCAAATTTAAATTCAAATTCAAATTTAAAATTAAATTGAATAAGACTATTCTTATTGCATAAATCGATAACTTAGTTAATAGCCCTTTGTTAACTGTAATGGAGATTTAAATTGTATAAACAAGACTAGAAATTTATAATTTAGAAACTATAAATTAAATTTCAAGTTATGACATAAAATTATAAATTCTCACAATTTTTCTTATCCTATAATAGATGACTTACTTTAAAGAAGATCAATTAGAGTGGCAGGCTTTATGTACCAAAACTTGATTTGAGAGTTAACACTATATATTTCACTGTCTAAATGCAAAAAATAAAAAATAAACTTGTAATGCTCCAGCGTTATTGGATTTTTGGCTGTACTCGAGCGTCACAATTCACAGTTCATGACACATTTCTATTTCAATCAAACGTGAACAATTGAGAAATTTTCTAAACTCACCTCCCACTTGAATTATCAGCAAGCAGAGGGGCTTTACTTAAATATTTGTAAAATCAAGGACGAAGGCAGAACTTTTCATATTGATTTACAACCTATTATAGATTTAAATCATCTATTTCCATGTTCTTTTGGTACATTCATGACCACCCAACATCAGAATAGATACCTTCGACACCCGTGAACTGCAAAATTCAACCATTCACAAACAAAACTATATATATATATATATATATTAATTTTTTTTTCAGTGTCCATAATTTTTGTCGTCCTGGGGGTCCAGGACCAATCAAGAAAAGTTGGTAAAAATACTACCCTACACCGCTATATATATATATATATAGTACTGTTAAACATGCAATTTACCAGTCCTTCCCCCACCAAAAACAACAATTTACAGCATTTATTTTGGTCCAAAAAAAATAAATAATAAAGAAGAAAACAAAAGATTGCAACGTTACTGTGCCCTCGTGCACATTTCCCCTCGTCCTTATCAATGTAGACGACACTCGCTTTTCCTCGGTTAATTACCTTCTCCCATAGAAATTCACGCTAAGACAACTGTTTTGCTTTATGTTTAGCATAACTTCGCACTCTAACCAAAATCATCTTTTAGTTAATTAAATTCAGATTTTACCTTCATCACTTTATTGTTTTTTATTTTATGTATAAAATTAAATAATTAAGATTAAATTTTATTTAAAAATTTAAATAGCATGACTTATAGTTCCTTTCCAATTTTATATTTAAAATGATTTAGAATCGATGTTAATTAAGGATTATTATATCTCAAGTCGAATCCGAGCTTTCTTGATAAAACAAACACGCTTTGTTACTAAACTAAGATGAAGCAACAAAGACAATAAAGTATAGAATCATCATGTATATTTAATAGGAAATATTATGATTAATAAACATCCATTCATTTGATATTGGTGTTATTTTTGTTTTTAAAAATTTTTAAATTCCAACCTATGCTTTCTAATAAAAATAAAAAAGGAAAACATTAGGTTTATTTAATACAAGTGGAGACTCGTAGTGAGTATTGAGTTTTTTGGTTGTGGTTTTTAACATTTCAATTTGCTTTTTGATCAATCGAACATACCCAAAAAAAAAAAAAACAAATAATTACCGAAATTTTATTCGGTTTTTCAATTTATAAAACCAGAATTTCAGTTTTTTTATATATAAAAAAAATTTAAAGATGTAAATAGGGCTAAAAAATTGTGTTATGAATTATGGAGTGATTTCACTAGTTCACATGGTTTAAATTAGCCTATATAAAATATAATAATTTTTATCTATATAAGATTAAATTATAAAATACATACTATAATAAGACATCAAAATTAATATATAAATCCATTAATTCACATTTAACAAATATTATAACAAAAAAAAATATTAATTGTTTAAATATACTGTAAATTGAATTATTAAAATTCAAGTAACAATCAATTCTATTTTTTTAAAAATCAGTTTTTGATAAATAAAAAAACGGAATTAAAAATTTAAAGATTAAATGGAAATCGAATAATTAAAATTAATTTGATTTCGATTTTTCAAATTAGATTTATTAAAAATCAAATCGAATTGATATTTGGATTTCGATTCCTTTCGGTAAATGATGCTGGAAGTCCACTGAGGTGGCAGAGAGTGTCGAGGGGTAGTTTGGTCCTGCGGGTGGAGAGACTGTGATTTGATCTGATATCTAACTTTGAAAAGTTTGGAAGCATTCTACTAAGCCTAAGCTAAGCTACTGTGTACTAGGAGACAAGCACATAGACACTGCGACGATGTCAGAGACACAAAAAAATATATTATGTACATATCAGAAAAAACATAAATAATAATAGATGTCATTTCATTACAACTATTTTTCATCAGTTCAAGGAAAATGGGCAGTATGTTTCAGACTAGTTTATGTTTGCGTCAAATTTAAATTCACTTTTTTTAATTAATTTATCAATTACTGATTATATAAAAAATGGGCACTAAAATTTTTTGAAGAAATTTATTTCAAACTAAAAGTATTATGATATGAATCCAACTAATGTTATCGAATATATTTTTTATAAAAAACGGTTAATTTATGGGAAACAAATGAAGTTTAATAAATTCCTTTATCTTCTTGAACCAACTGTAAATGTTTTGTCTTGTTTTAACCTTGTTTTTCTTGGTTGTAATATACTTCCTACTGTCGAGTTTTTGTTGGTAAACCAAATCAGAAAAAAGGACATGAAAATATTTATGAAATCATATGTAACATGTAACAAGTAGGCAATAATAAATCACAAAACTAAACTATTTTTGGATTATATAAAAGAGGAAATTTTAGAAAATCACTTTCCAAATTTATCCTTTCAAACTCTAAAAAATGATGATTTTTTTTCAATAGTTAAAAATATTTTAGAACCAACTTACACATCAATTAAAACTAAATATATTTTTTAGTGATTTAAAAAAAAACACCTTCTATTAATATAGTATATTAAAAAATAAATTATTTTATTTAAAAAATTTGACTAGAGTCATTCAAATAAATAAATGATTTTGGATTCATGTAATTATATTTGTCTTGTATATCCAATAAAATAATAAATAATTAGTATAAATCTTTTGTTTTAGGATATCTTAAAAATAAAAAATATATATTTTAAATATTAATTCTAAATTTCAAATACCAAAAAAAAAAATTCAAATAAAGAGAAAGCTTCCTTTTTTATCACCGTACCTAATCCAATCTAAATTTGTGTTTATCTAGCACGGTCTGAATCAATAACATCATTTTCCCTTCTATAATTTACCAAAAACACGTAGCCAGCTAGCTGTCTTAGCCTAACATCTACAAGAAACAGTGTGACATGGCAAAGAACATTGGTCCCTTTGACACAGACACAACTGTATCTATGCTCTTCTCTCCACCTCCTCTCTCTCTCCCGTTTGAACATCCACACACACAATGGTTCCACAGTGAATGTGAATCACTGGACTGCGCGTGCGTCATCTGCTTCTCTCTCTCTCTCTCTCTAGGGGCGAAAGACCAGCCCTTTTCATAGCGCAGAAGTAACAGAACGACCTTTTTATATCATTTTTTCACTCTTTCTCTGCTACATTGCCAGTTCTCGAGCTTCATTTTCTTGGTCTTTGTGCATAATCCAATCTCTCACATGATTCTCCCTTTCTTTCACACCTTTTCATTTTCTTGATTCTCAATCATCACCATCTTTCATTCATTGATCTATCTCTTTCTTTGTTCAAGAGAATCGTTTGTCATTTGCTTTAAGACATGTAAATAATATAATACTACGACTACTACTGCTGAGTAGCAGAATAATACAGGTAGACCAGTACTATTTTACTCTTCTCTGTCTACAGGGTTCTCGTGGTTGTCCTCTCCAGCTTTCTCTTCTGTCCTTTTCACTCCTTCCCGTTGCATTTTTGTAGGGCATTTGCTTTTTTGTTCTCTTCGTATTCCTTTCCTGTTTTGGGGTAACTTGGTTAGCTAAGTTGTATTATTTTGTTGGAAAGAAGGGGTTTTTTTTTTCACATGGGTTTGGCAGATAAATGGTGTTTGAGATTTGGATGTGTTTGGTTTTGAAAGAGAGGGATTTTTGGTGTAGGGTTTTTGGTTTCTTGGAGAGATGAATGAAACAATAGGGAAACCTGCAGGAACATGTTTGGCGATAACAGAGAAAAAGGCTCATAGGCCTGGTGGTTGTGTTGGTATTTTCTTTCAGTTATTTGATTGGAATAGGAGATTTGCCAAGAAAAAGCTCTTCTCAAGGAAATTGCTTTCTGCAGGTTAGTCCATTTTCTCTCAAAACCAAAAATACCTATTTGACCTAGAATGCGTAAAATTGATTGCTTTGGTTGTTTAATTCATGTGTTGTTGTTGCTGATCAGCTCGTGCAAAACAGCCATCAAAGAAGTTTGGAGGGGATGAGAAGATGCCCAAAACAAAGCTCAATTTGGTATGCATTTTGGTTTACAAGATTGGATCTTGCCGTTCAGAGATGTTTTTAAGGGAAATCTAGTTATATTCCATTAAGTAGCGGTTTAACTTTACGAGTGTGCTTTACTTGTTTATTTTCTTGTGTATTAAGAGGGTTTTTGTTTGTGCTTGAAATGTAGATTGCTGATGAGAATAAAGGGGGTTTTCCAAATGTAAAGAAAAATGGGAATGGTAATAGTGATGTTGTAGTGCACAAGCATGAAATGAGAGCTCCAAGCTTGGTTGCTAGGTTGATGGGCCTTGATTCTTTGCCAGCTGCTCATCGAGATAAGCACAAGAAAGTTTCAAATTCTGTTGCTTGTGACGTTACAGAAGAGAAACGTGTTGACAATAGTCATAGTGGATCTGATAGGGATGATTTGAATATGGAGAAATGCAGCACAAAGGTTGAATCTAGGCCTCAAAAACTTCAAAAGACAGGACAGTCAGAGACACGAGCAGTAACTAGGTTCGGAGCTGAGGCGTTGCAAATTAAGGGTGTTTTGTCAAGGTCTAGAAAGCATCATCATCCAAAACTTGCGCCTCCAGTTAAGAGTCCTAGGATTTCCTCTTCCAAGAATGCATCTAGGACGTCTAGGTTGATTGATGCTGCTACTAGAATTTTGGAACCTGGGTTGCAGGCTACCAATAGGGCAAAAAGTGCTCTTACTTATTCAAGTTCTATGAATTATTGTCCCAGGGATGAAGTTTCGACAGAGATTGGAATTATGTTACCAAATATTGTGAAACAACAAGATATTGGAGATTGTAATGAGGGTGTAGCCAAGTCTTTCATAGGGCAAACTTCTTGCAAAAATTGTGGTAATTTGTTTGATGTAGTGGATTCTGGACACAATGTGAAGGAGCAGCAGTTTGTTTGTCCATCCATTGTTTCACATTACATGTCCTCTCAAGAATCAGAAATTATTAAGCCTAGGCGCACCATATCAACTCCTGAGGAAGAGAGAAATGTAATTTATCAGAGAAATTGGGACCAACAATCCATTGCTGTGAAAGAGCAGGATAACACACCAGTACCAAGTCAAACCATCACCGTCATCAAACCTCTATCTCAAGAGGGCCAACCACGGCGGCAATTGAGAAGCCAGCCGTGCATGCCTAAATACCAAGACTCATCTTCTATTACTCACAAGCAGAGGATCCAGACTCAAAATGAGATGTTCGTAAGAAGGGATAGAACTCCGCCAAGGGCCAGATTAAATAATCTGCAAAGCAGGAGAACTTCAGCTGCAAATGCTATTAGTGGGGCAACAGATTTTGTTGCTTTGAACAGAAGCATAATCAGTCGTGGCCGGACAAGGGCGTCTACCTTAGCTGATAATTCTACATTTGATAAAGACAGAAAAGTTTGCAGCAGACAAGATGATTCATTGTCACCGCTAAGGAGCCCAGTGCGCAAAAGGAGGACAGTCAGTGTCAATGCACAAGTTGAAAGTACTGCATTTGGTAATCCGATGTCTATGAGACAAAGGAACACCAAGTCTGATGGTGTGAGTAGAAAAGAGGTTGCATCTAGCTCTAGCTCTGTCGACCGTGCATATATCAAAAGCAGATCAGTTAATGATGGAGAGCGTAATAAAAATAATGGCAGTAGGGAAAATGATGCTGTATCGTTTACATTTAATTCCCCATTGAGGCACAAAACTTTTGTTTCCGCAGGGCTGGAAGAGAGGAGTAATCAAATTGATAAGATCTCTTCTCACCGAAGAAGGCTGATTTTGGATGAAAATGATGGAAAAACATATTTGCAGAATCAATTGCCATTGAGAGGTGATGCACTGGGAACAATTTTGGAGCAAAAACTAAAGGAATTGGTCTCTCAAGAAGAGGATGAATTAACAAGTGGAGGTAGTCGACCCATGAGATCTACTGCTATGATTCTCCAAGAGCTAATACTTGCTTTGACTGCAGCTCAGCCTATGTCTCCACATGCTCATATGTTTAATGCAGACAAAACTTGCCAGGTTGGTTTGCTATCTATTGGCATGGTGCTGTCTTTTTTATTTTGCTGTTTATGGTCCAGAATCTGTGTTCTTATATTGTTTGTTTTGTGACTTAATTAAAGCATCTACGCGTAAAGTAAAAACTATAAAATGTCTTTTTCCTCTCTGATATTGGTACCTACATTATCTCTAATAATGCACTATTTTGAACTGTTTTTCATTGCATTTCTGTTTGGAGGACGCTGATTCTGGCGCTTCCTTGTATTGGGTGAAAATTTTTGTACTTTTAACCATGACAATAAAATGGAGAAATGAATGAAATCATATAATGATTGCCTTTTCATTTGACATGTATTCTCAATTGACTAATGTCCCATAGGTTGCTGTCTTTGTTTTATAGTTAATAGCTGTTTGAAATTTGTGTACCATACAGAGCATCTTAGCGATATTAGTTGCCAATGATGGATGTAGGGCAGGGCCTTTGGAATTGAAAGTTTTTAGCTTTGCCCTCTTTTTTTTTTTTTTAAGTTTTTCTTCTTTCTATTTCATGGTATGTGAGAAAACAAAATAGTCCTTGTATCAATTAATTTCAGTGAAACACATTGACCTTTCCTTTCTCCATCTCTTTCAATTGGTTTCAATGAAAATATTGTTGCACATAATAGAGATTAGGTTGAAAATAGGTATAGTCCGACTATCAAATATCTAAATTTTGGTAGTCATGTCATGTTAACTGAAGTTCAGCAGTTTCATGGGTAAATACTGGAAACTGGCAGTGGATAGGTGTAGAGAATGATAGATAAAAAGCTGGTGAAATATATGATATATGAATTGAAGGCCGGCAGTTTTTAGATGGCTCATTCCTAACATATGGTACTATTGGGGATTGGTGAAGATGGTAAATTGTAGGACAAATGGATTATGCATTTGTGGGAATTGAAGAAATGTATAGGTAGCACCCAAGTGATATCAGAAGGAGAAACATGCTTCGATTTGAAAGTTTACTAGGCAAATGGAACTCTTAAACTAGTGCAATCCTGAAGGGATTGTCTCGGGATGCAAATTATCAAATTAACGCAATGCATTATTTAGTGGTCAAAAACCAAAATAACATATGACAGAGGCCCTGGAATTGTAGTTAATGGTCGCAATTATAAGCTGTCTTTAAGAGTATTTTGAGGCAATGGGGAAGGTTCATATTGTCAAGGAAGCTAGAGACCTTGTTGAAGCAGGAATGCATTGACGGAACTGAATAGCCAGGATTCATGGAACTAGTCCTGGGTAGTTCAATTCAAGGTCATATTGAGGCTAAGCATCCTAAACCTATATGCTATGAAAATTAACAATTGCCTTTTTATGAGGCTAGAGTTTCCTTGATATTATTTTATGTTCTAGGTGTGATTCTTAAAATTAATTTTCTGGTTCATCCTATACAGCAACGTTTTGTGCTTAATGTACCTTGGTAATAGCTGAACATGACAAGAATAGCTTGTGTTACTACTCTGCTCAGATGGAAGAAAAAATCGGGAGGAATTCAGTTGGAATATCGCCTGATGGTGATCATCTTAGTCCTGGATCTGTTCTTGAAGCTTCTTTCTCAAATGGCAGTTGCTTTTCAAGCAGTCTGGATGATAGCTCAGGTAAGAAAGTAAAATTTTATGACAATTGCAGAACGAGGAAACTCATGGGTATTTTTTATCAAATTCCTGAGTACCTTGGCTATGAATTTCCTGAAATAGATGAAAATTTTTTTTTTTTATCATTCACTATTTAATCTCAAGGTTTTATCATATAGTTTGAGCTCTCTTTACAAATACAATTGTGGCTTGTGATTATGCTAGGACATAGGATGCTGCTGGACTCCATGGATTACTCTTATGATCAACCACAGCCATTCAATACTGATGCTGATCTTCTGGATTGTGCAACCTCTTTGATACAAGGAAGGACGGGTAGCAAGACGGCAACTGACCTTCTCAACCATGTCTCTAGGATATTACAGAGCATCAATCTTGCTGGTGGAGGGTTAACTGGAAACAAGCTCACTCATTCGAAGAAAGTTATTATGCATGCTGAACTGTTGTTTGGTAACTCAACTCTACGTAGTTCAGATAGAATGAAGAGATTTCTCGTCGGTCCCTTTCTGCTTGAAGGACTTGAAACCCTTGCTAGTGCCATGTGGAAAAATCTTAATTGCCTTATTGGTTTTGAAGAGAGCAAAGAGAGTAATAATCAACTCAGAAGGTTTCTTTTTGATTGTGTGATAGAATGCTTAGATTCAAAATACGTCCAGTACAGTAACTCTGGATTCAAAGCATGGAAAAGGGTACCATCGCCCATGAATGCAGAAATGTTGATTCAAGAGATCGGTGAGGAGGTCAGAAGGTGGACAGATTTTGCTGGGATGATTCCAGATGATATAATAGATTGGGAGATGAGTCATTCCTTGGGAAAATGGACAGATTTTGAATTTGAAGGATTCGAAACTGGTGCAGAAATCGACTGGGACATACTTCAGACATTGGTTGAGGAAATTGCTGTCGACCTTTGGGAGTGCAGTGTGGATTCCTTTTGAAGTGTTGACTAACATTCTGGAATCTTTAAGTGTATTTCGCTTATTATTTGATGCAACAACTTAACCTGTGTCTGCTATGAAAGTGGCATGTTCATTTCTTGTCCAAAACGATGGATGGTGTTCATTTGATAGGGCTATTAGATGTTGTAGATGAGCAAGTATATTGGTTGGGTGGACGTAACTTGTTTTCGCAAGGAAAAGCAGCTTCAAAAGGCCTGCTGCGTAACTTTTAATAGCAGCCTGTATCCTCTAAGATTGATCACTTTCTCAAATCCATGAAAAAGGCACTCTTATATATGAGAGGAAAGAATTGTAACTTTCCTTTTTAAAAAATTATAAGATTCGTGAATTTTTTTTAATAATAAATTTTATGTTTTTGTGAGAGAACGGAGTACAAACTCCTGATATTCCTAGTAATTTCTTTTTTGATTAGGTTCACGAAAAAAAGTAAAAAACAATTCTCCAGCGTTCTTCATCGAACTCATTTGTTGGACTTTATTGTCTCTATGCATAGTTGCTTCACGGCATTTACACCAAAAGAATGCATCTAAGCATTTTTTTCCTCTTTCTGGGATTAGAACCTGAGCTTGTATGGTGATTGGTTAAGTAGCAAACCTGAACCTGAACTTGCTTTTCATCGAAAAGTATAAAAAATGAATAACCTAAACATCAGCGATCGTCAAAAAACTAACTCGGTTGTTAAGGCAATGTGTGGAATCTGAACACTGAACTCAAGGTCCCATGATTATGCAAATGGAGTGAACTCTCTTAGGATGCCTTCCCTTCCATTATCATATGGAGTGTCTTCTCCTTCTTGGTTCCATAAAATAACAAAAAGGGAAGAAAAGACACAAACAAGGCAAAAGTTTGAAACGCAAATAACATACAATTTTGTCTTAGAAAAACAAAGTACCTCAAGTATTATTATAATCATATGCAAAACATGATTACATCCAGAGCTTTACAATCCCATAACCCTAATGAACAACCAATCAGAATACAACTTATGGAAATAGCAGTGTTAAGAAATTCTCACAAAATCAAATCCAACTAAGGAAAGAAAAGAAAAATAAGAACAAGAGCCCAATTAAGAGATCAACAAATCTCACACGAATGGAGAGACCACCAAAAAATTATCAAAATCAAAACTGTCTATACCCCAGAACAGTTTTGCCAGTAGCAATTCCTCTACCTCCTCTGTTTGCTCTGTTTTCCCCATTAATTGCATTTGCTGCAGCGAAAGACAATCCTTTTAATTCTTCAACATTTGCATAACTCTTCCTTGCCATTAACAACCCACCATTCTTTTTTTCTCCAGCATTTGCAGACTTACTCCCTCTCGAATTCGACAAAAACCCATTACTTATCTTTGACACAGTCTTTGATGGAGGTGTCAATTCTTGCCGTGGCTTCCGATTTTCTTTCCTCAAAGTAGCAGAGAAATCAGGCACTGATTGAGCCAAAATAGAAGGCCCTTTTCTCGAACTCCGTAAATTTTCTTGAAACTTAACTTGTTTCTTCGGTGGGATTTGTTTAAAATCAGCCTCTTCATATTCTTGTTGCCTTAACATCTTCATTTTTAGCTTTGTCTCTCTTAACTCTGCATATGCTCCATACCTTGGTCCTCTTTCCATGATATAACTCTCTGTGGTCAGTTTTAAAGGCACCGGTTGATCAGAATCTGCTGAATTTTGCGAGAGAATTAGAGAGATAGGATCAAGGGCTTGAAACAGAGATTGTATACTAGGGTTTTGTTGAAGAGTTTGGTTCAGAGAGCCGTTAGTTTCTGCCATTGTTGATGGGTGGATTTGGCTCTCTGTTTTGTTCTGTTTCTTTAATTGTTCTTCGTAGTTCCAGGGTTTTGTGTTGCTTAAAGAATTCGATTTTGCAACGGTCAAAAACAAAAGCGGAGACAAAGAGAAACCCTTTTGGTTACGAAAAGTTTACTACAACGTTATTCTTGAGGCGGGTCCCATTTAAAAGTTGTGGAATCACATTGGATTCTGCATCTACCGTCCGATTGATTTTTTATGATTGTTTTGGTTGGTGTTTTGTGGTGGATCAAGAATCATCCATTTGTCGGATCAAAATGGGATCATCGGATGGGAAGGTTCCTTGAGTAAAGGATAAGGATGATGTTATTATTATTATTTTTTTTTTGGATACAAAATACCGAATATTGTATTCTAGTCTTTAGATCCATAAATTATTTTTACAACAAATGTCATGTTTTCGTAAGAAAATAAAGTACGATATTTTATAAATCTAATAATTTTTAAAGAATATTGTTTTCTATTTGAAAGATAGTGAATATATATATATATATATATATATATATATATATATATATATATATATAAAGTTTTACACATATCGAGATTTACATACAATTCGAATTTTTTAATTGAGATCTTAAGTTTTTTTCTCGTCTAATTTAAGAGTTTTACTCTTATATTATTATCGTTTCGGATACTAATATATCGGTTCTACTTAATATCAACTTGTCATATGTGTTTATGTAGCAAATTATTATTAGTTATGGTTTAAAATAATAACAATAACATAAGAATATAACTCTTAAATTATATAGAAAAAATCTGAATGATATATAAGTAAAATCATATATATATATATATATTAAGAAAGTACATGATGATGGCATGACCAATGGCAAGCGGCCATTTGAAGGCTGTGCATACATCATTTGTGAAAATAATAACAAAATTAGACCACACATCTATAAGCAATTTAAACAAATCACCCACGGCACTGGTTTTTTTTTTAAAAAAATGTTTACAAGCAATACTACTACGTTTTGCATTTTGAAATTCTTTAAATCTCTACAACTATAACTTTACAATTTAAAACTAGTTGCATTAACTGACGAAAATCCATCTTGTTTGTTTTTTTCTACAAAAAAAGCTAAATATCTAATAAACCGCATCCACTGCAACGGTTAGTTTATTATACATAGGAATGACAATAAAGGAGTATATGATCTATTAATTTCATTTTTTACATTATCCATAAAAAAAATATTTTATCCATTATCTATTAAGAAATTATCATATAAATTTTTATTAAATTCATACCCATCTCACATTAGTTTTCACATCTATTTAATAGCTGCTAAAATTAAGTTCATTTTAGTCCATATAATTTTTTAAAAAAGTTTTGTCCTTAAAATTTAAATTTTTATTTATTTTTTTTTGTATTTTGATCATTTGTTTATAAGTTTTTTTGTTCTCAAAGTTTTGAAAAAAAATATTTTGATCTTTATTTTTTTAATTTCATGCAATTAAATTTCCGTATGTTAACAAAAAATCAAAATAAATTAGTGAGTATTAATAAAGTAAAGAGTTAGTACTTATGTCCTAAAATCATATTAATGGATATTTTTTTTTATCGTTACCGACTTCAATATATATTTAATATTCTTAATGAATATTTATTAAATCAAATAAAATAATTATTCCTTTTGTACCCCTTCTAGTACCACCCCTAGTTACAGAAGCACCAACAGGAATCTATGGATTGCTACAGTCTTCGATTTAAGTGCGTTCATCTATTTAGTTGGTTTTTTCCCTTGGCTTTTTATCCATAAATCTTCAATTTTTCTTGAACGCGGATGACAATTTGGCAGATTTAAGGTATTGCCCAATCAGCTTGAAGAGGATCCAATCTTTAGGCCGACATAGAACGAGGTGGGGAGGATTTTCTGTGCACTGACTCGTATCCACCCCGTCCCTGGCCTGATTAATTTAATAATAGTAATAGTAATTTTGAGTAAATCATAAGTTAGTCCCTCTAATTTTTTTTAAAATAGATTAATTATGTTTTTATGTTTCAAAAACAAATTATTTAGTTCTTGTATTTTAAATTTTCTTGTAATTTAATTTTTTTATTTTTTAATATTTAAGGAATTAAAAAATATAAAATATAAAAGAATTAATGAAAAGATGACATTTTTTGAAATAGAATAATGTAAATCAACTATGGTCATTAATAAAAGGATGAAATAATTAATGAAAAGATGACATTTTTTGAAATAAAATAATGTAAATCAAATATGATCATTGATAAAAGGACGAAATAATTTTTGAAGTACACTATTTTATAACCTACTGTAGTCATCTTAAATGGAAATTATTAAATCTTTATTTCTTGAGGGGGAAAAAAACCAGCTCAAATGGAAACCCGAAATTAACCCATTACCATCCCTGTATAAACGTAACCTTTTTCGAGTAGCCACAGAGAAAGCAAAAAATTTTAGGAAAAATCAACATAGAGGGTGATAGAGACAAATAATCAATATAGTACATAAATTCTAAAAAAGCTCTCAACTTTTTCTTTTTAACAGACGATTGGACAGTATTTTTATCATTAGCGAGGTTAATTATGCTAATAAACAAACCGACCTCTTTAAACCAACCAAATCAGTAGATTATCAGGTTCGGCATTCAAGCAAAGATTTCACCAGTGACCAGCCTATGACAAGCTCTGATTCAATAAAAGTGCAACACATAATCTCAAACCTGAAAGACAAATGACAAAAAATGCAGAATAACCAGAAAACTTGTACGAGATCATTTTGGCTTTTCTTTGACTTTAGTGGCGTTTTGGCTTCGTTGAGCTTGAAGTTCCCCTAAAATCATCTCATATTGTTCGACATATGAAAATAATATCACGATTAAATTGGTCTTTCTCATCCATATAACCTTTATTAACATGAGATACATGCCCTGCTAGCCAAAAAGAGCCTTGGAGGACATTGACAAAAAATTTGCTAAGCATCCATACAACAATTACTGCAAGGAAGCTTACAATAAGCTTCCTCTTTTGGCTCAAATGTCAGAAGCTCCCAACTTTTACTGAGGTGGTTTTTGTTTCTCTTCCAGCTATGCCTTTTTCTTGGATTCAAACTTTGTGATACTTGTACTTTTGGCCCAGATTAAATCTAGAAATTTTGTGGGTGAACCCACCACGAATCAAGGCCCTCACAGCCTCAACCCCTTGTTCCAATGATGCATCAATCTGTCCAGTGGAGATTAACAGTCAAAAGGTTGCAGCCGATTGAAGGGAAACACAAATGCAACCATATAAATACAGGGCGATATGAAACAAAGTCTACACAGTTGTGCCATGTGAACATGTTACCACTGAACAGTTGTGTGGACAAAAGACAGTCGAAAAGCATTTAACAATAAATGTAAGATCAATGATATCATTACTAGTAACCTTAAAGCCAGACATAACCATACTATTGGAACAGCTGAATAAATGTATATTACTAATACAAGGATGGAGTCAATATAGTTTCTTAAGGATGATTTTGCACAAGGTGTGAAGTCTGTGTCTTAAACATGAAAGGAATAGGGTGTGACAATACGCCTGAACTTTTTCATTGTATCAAATACCATTCAACATGATGCATGTGGAAGAACCTTTGTCCTAGAATCAAACAATGGCATACCTGCTCTCGCTCAGTTGGGCTAAACTTCTGCAGAAGAAAAGCTTTCATGTCCATTGTGCCAGGTGGATTTCCAATGCCTGCAAGAATGAAACTTATTAAGTTCTAAAAACAAAGACAAGAATGGCTTTTCAGCACACAAAATGTTCTGAAAACTTCGGCTGGGAGTAAGCTACTTGCCTATACATAATCGAGGAAATTCTCGGCAACCATCCAAATGGTCCATCACATTCTTTACTCTGTAACAAGAGATCACAAATAAAAATTTCTATGTATTTCTTGGTTTTTTATTCAGAACAGAGAGTTCTTTGAAATACAAAGAGCCAAATTTATACAAGGCCATCAAATTCGATTAAAAGATATTGTTCTCCAAGGAATTTCATTTGAGGTAGTTAAAAAACATGGATAAGTTTAGGACAAAGACTCCAGAACTGAAACCAATTTCTAACTATAATACATGCAGTGACTATCCATGAATAAGCTATCAACTAATTGATTTGCTCCTATATAGTTATGATATGAAGGTTCAATTTCTCACCTTTTAAAAGAAATATGTAAATACATTGTTTCTGTTAAACCTCCTCTTCACATCTTGATAATAAGCTATCCAAAGAGCAGAAAATTCCCTTCTTTAATAGAGGTACGATTCCTAATGCTCAACATTAGTTCATTAAACCCATAGGAATCATAATTTTTAATGCTTTTGACTTGTTCCATACTTTCTTTCAACTCCTTGAAAAAGGCTGGCTGGCAAACTAGTTATTTCAGATATGTGCAATGCAGTAGCTTGAGCTCTAAATCACGCCAGGAAAAGTGATCATAAATCCTCTTAAAGGAGAATGAGAAAAGCTAACTGAAGAAGCAAGTCATTGCTAAACAAATCACCTCTTTTGTAAATTTATTACGTTATTATTTAACAAATAAAGTTCTTGGTTGTTAATAAGCAGTGATGGAATCAAAATAAAGTAATACTTGGTAAAAAACGAAAGTCGTTCAATAAGTTGGGGTCTGGGAAGGTTGGTTGAACAATGAATATGTCAAACAATACCAAAATCATAACAGTAAAACATACCCATTATGATGGCCATGTCCACCTTTTGGCTGAACCCTTAGAATGCCATTTGGTAAGTTCATCTCATCATAGATCTACATGTTCAAATCCAGGACCAAAATGTCAGTATAGCTTAAATTGTAAGTAAATAAGATAATTAAAATTCTATTAAACTGAAGTGAGGTATTGAAAATGCATACCAGTAAAATATGACGAAGAGGTATTTTATAATGTGCAGCAAGTGGTCCAACCTTGAAAACATTGAAAAGAAAAATAGGTTAGGTAAAACAACAGCTGTCTTCTGAGGACAACAAAGCATATCTTGTTTACCTCACGTCCGAGTGCCTATCAATAAAGTCAGTAAAATATGCAAATCCAAAGTGAAATTTTTTTACAACGAGATAGAATCATGGAACTAACCGATTCCCCACTAAAATTCATGTATGCCTGAGGTTTGGCCAACAGAATCGGCACCTCTCCAATGCAACCTGTACTGATCACACAAAGAATCTGAATAAACCACCAAACAAATACAATAATACAAAGAAAGAAAGCAGAAAAGGCATAAACTTGAAGGGAAGTTAGCAATGAGATTTTGACAAAACTACCTATTCCAATCAAAGCCTTTGATTGTATTGTGTTCAACAAAACACCTTCTGCTTGAGCAATTCGATCAATCATTTCAAAACCAACCTGATGGTGATAAACTTGCAAAATCACTAATATAACACGAAAAAAAATTAAAGCCATCAAATTCATGTGTGCCTTTAATTACATTGTGCCTAGTGCCATGGTACTTATTTCCAGGGTTACCCAATCCAACAATTAGCCACGGTGTATATTCCACTTTAACTCCATTGCCATTATCTGGCAATGAAGCACGTGCACAAAGCCTGGTAGAAACTAAATTCCTTCGATGAAAACCAGAACTTCTCGGACAGGAAATGCAGGTTCTATGGGTAGAGGCTGCATTCAACATTGACCTACACATAAAATCACCAGCACTTAAATACCGGATATAGACAAACCAAACAGATTAGAAACAAACATTCGCAAAGAGACAATATTACTATCAAAGAAAAGAAAAGAAAAGAAAACTAAATTTTGTTGCACGAGGGTAGGTTTGGCTAGAGGATTCGGTTTTTTTTTTTTTTGATGAAATTAAACTGGAGGTTTCCGCTTCCAAATTCCAAAATTTAACTTCCTTTCTTCCAACTTTTTCACATCAAAGTTTTAAGAGAAAATTTATTTAAACTCATCATTAATCGGCCACCACAACCATTAACTACTAGTGAGCTTTTACGTTTCAAGCAACAACTACCAATAGGCAAGAACCAACGAAAATGGCCATAACTATCATAATAATCACAGAAATTTGTGAGCTAGATAACTACAATTCCTGCAACTCAACACTAAAAGGATTGAACTTTTCACAAAGCAAAACTCCAAAGAGAAAACCCATGCCCGTTAACCTCTGAAAAGGCACACACAATACACAGAGAGAGTTAACACATGGTAATTTCCAAAAGAGAGTGAAAAAGATAAGGCACTCTAATATTGAAACTCAAAAAGTAAAGCTTGGTAAAGAAGAAAAGAACTAACCCTTTATGTGTTTTGGATACTTGAATTCAGAGATAAACTTAGTTGCTGAGAGAAAGAGAGAGACCCAGTAAATTAAAGAGCTGAGCTTTGAGGAATATACGCTGAGTACTCGCCGGTTTGTAGAAGTTGCAGTCTTCGATTGATATTTTTGGATATAGAAACAAGAAAATAATAAGGGCAAAGATAAATTTGACGCATTTTGGGCTGTGGTTCTAAATGGGCACTTGTGGTTTGGGGCTTATAAGTTAAATTTGACTCATTTTGGGCTGTGGTTCTAAATGAACACTCGTGGTTCGGCTGTGCTCTTTTGTATCGTTAAGGTTTTTTATTTTTTTCCAATCCTAATAGAAAATTTGTTAGTTTGCTTTTCACTGAACCAATAATGTTTATTAGTTTATTTTATTCCACAAAAAGGGTATTACTATTATTATTGTTGGTTTTTCTATTCCATGATAAAACTGTTTCAATTTAGGTAATGTTTGGTAACAAATAATGGAACAATAGCGATAAGAATAAAATTTTATTCTTACTTTTTAGGTATTTTATTGAAAAAAGTAAGGTAAAAATGGAAATAAAGAGTATAAATGACAATAAAAATTAAACATAGTTTCATTCTAATAAAAAAGTAGAATAAAAACAAAAAATAAAAATAAAAATAATATATTATTTGTATTTATTGTATATCAATAATTTCTACCACTACAATCACTTGCCTCCCCCATCATCAACGGTGGTAATAAAAAAAAATTTAATTATTATTATTATTATTATACCATTATTCTTCTTTAGCTACTGCTATAATTTTTATTGTACCATTACTACCACCTCTTATTGTGGTGATATCAATTTTTTAAACATATGTTATTATTGTTACTATGTTACTTTTATTATCACTACCACTTCCTCCTCCTCTTACTTTACCACCATTGTCATTATTACTGCTACCTCTATTATTTTTACTATCATCATAATTTATAAAAAAGAAATTTTAATTTTTTTAAAAAATAAATATTAAAAAATTAAAATTTATTATGATTTTTTATTGCTATTCGAACAAGCATATATGAAAATATAAATATTATTTTGATTTTTGTATTTTTATTCTCATATTTCATTCTTATAACCAAATGATATTTTAATGTATTTAAAGAAATATATTTTTTAAAAAGTTGGTTTAAAAGTTTGAACTAAAGAAATGAATAAAAAAAACTATTATTATTGTTAATATGGTCATTATATAAAAAGGAAGCAATTAAGGAGGTGAAGTGGACATGTGCCTTTGTCACCCATGTAGTGGATCAAAATAGCAATCAACCACATATTACCATGCATGTATTAAAAAACAATTGTACAACGGTTCCTACCACTACTCCTTGTATGTTTATATATATATATATATATATATATTAAAAACAAAAAAAACAAAAAACAAAAGAGATGATCACACAAGGAAATTTAGTATAGCTCTATAATTTCACGAGTCTCTCGATAAATACAGATTGCTCGATTATAAAAAAAATATAATGAATCAGGACTATCTCCCTTACTTATGTAATGTATTAAATTTTTCAGTAAGTGTAAAAAAATTCAACCTGCAGGGTTCTTACAGGCAGAAATCAACAAGGAGAACTCAGGCCTGTCTTGTCCCTTCTGCTCCTCCTCCAGCCATAACCTGCTATCCAACCCACTTCTAGTCCTGAACATAAGAACAGCACAACCAGATTTTTCCTTAAACAACCACTCATGCAAATCCCACATCAGATCCACCAATAGACCATCCAAAAAAACTATCTGATTCCCTCTAAAATTCCACCTTAATCTCTTCACTTGAAGAATCTTCTTACCATCTATCCACGCAGACAGTACAGGATTCTTCGATCCATCTTCTTGATCTCCACTAAACTTGATCAAAATGTCATGAGTAGTCCCTGTATCACAGAATCGTGCCTTGGTTGAACACATAGTCTTACCTGAAAAATTCTCTCTTCGAGAAACCAACGAGGGTCTCAACGGTACCCATGTTTTCTTCAACAATTTTGTGTTGACTTCTTCATTATCAATGTCTCCGAGAACCAGAACCAGTCCTGAGTCCACCAAGACAACAACGTAAAACCCTCTGATCGGCTCAGGTCCTGCATCAAAATAAGCTGTGGAAAGATCCCAAAAGACTTCAATCCTTGAATTACAAGACTGGAATGTGCTGCTGCCCTTAATTTCTTGAACCCGGTGGCCGGAATTAGCACTACTTTTTCTTGAAGAAGAGGAAATATTGCTGTCATCAATATTGATGTTGAGGCCTCGGAATATGAATTCGCTGCACCAAGTAACGGTGATCAAGAGGTTCTTTTGAGAGGAGAGTTCCACTTTGTACATACAAGAAACCGTATCTGGGATCGAAGGGGTACAGGTTTGGGAGAGATAGGCACTGTTTGAAGGGCCTGAGCAATATGAATCGGATACTTTGATGGCATGCTCACTGTAACAACTCGCTATACTCCTCATTGATAATAGTTTGAAGATATTTTTCTCTGTCTTCGTATGGCTGATGTCTATACGGTTTGAGGCTGGTGGGGTGTGGGAGAGGAGAAGGTACCCTTCCTTGCCTGTTCTGTAAGAAATTGAAAAGGTTAATGTTAGGTTACACAAACCACGTTGACTATGGTAATGAAGAGAAGAGGAAGATTGAAGATGACAAAAGAAGGGTTCTGTCGTCTTCTATGCGTTTCCCATGTTAACTGTCCTTTCTGTTTTCTACCAACCTTCCTGATACTAAATAGTATAAAGCATAAATACGACCTTAAATCTCCTTTATAAAAATATAAATTGAAAGGGAAGACCAGAAACTTATTTCTCTCACGATTCTTCTGACAGTTCATTGGTGCTAATTAAGAGAATTAATGAAATAATTATTCTGGTAGAGTTGACCTGGCTAGCTAATATTATAAATTAAAATCAAACGTATTAAACAAAACCCCTTTCCATTTTGGTTGATCAAAGATTAACTAATAAAATGTAAGGAAGGTGATAGAACTAGTACTGGCAGATTTTGCTTGGTACATTTTGGTTAGTTATTTCTTGTTCCCACAATTAGAAAATTAAAACTATATTAATTAATGGGTTCGAATTGTTCAACGCAATCAGCTAGCTGAAGATAAAGCCAAGACGTCGAGGGGATGTTGATAGATAAGGGCGGAGTTATGGAGTTTGGAGTAGATTGGATAACGTGGATGGATGTGTGCTAGCTGACGGGGATGATGATGGATGGAAGTGATTGTTGGACCCATGAATTAAAGATAGGCTTTTGATTCACCAACTACAAACTAAAGACAACCATGTTATTTTGTTCTTAAAAAAGAAAAAAGAAAACGACAACCACGCTATTATTTATTAGTGTAAATTATAAATTAATTAATTTCTCTCCTTTCTTACTGATTATGTAGTCTTTTATGTAACAATTTAATTTTTCAACTAAAAAAAATATAATTTGAAAACAAAAAATTATTAATCTAATAAAAAAATTAAATTATTAAAACGTAAGAGATGATATGATTAGTTTTTGAAAGAAATATGAGTGATTAATTTGTTTTTTTCTAAATCAGAGGTACTAATTTATAATTTACTCGTTATCATTCTAACCTCTCCATTCTTGACATAAATTAGTGATTACTGTATGCTTCAGTTACAAATAGAAACTCTACTTTTCGGTTTCAAAAGGGTATAAACTATAAAGGACAATTCAGCTTCTCAACTCTCAACCCATTACTATGTAAATAAATCTACCTTGATTGTGGTGTTTAAGACAACAAAACCGGTAGATGCCGTGCGTAGGAAGTATGATATACGAGTAAGATCCATTTGGAAACATGGATACGTCCATTTTTAAAAATTATATTATTAAAAACGTTTTATTTATGTTTGTTCATCTTAATTTATTTTATTATTATTTGAACGGGTGAAGAATAAAAGTACTAAAGATAAATAATTTTAAATAAATTATAATGCAACTAAAAATTAGGTTAAATAAAAAGTTTGGTATTATTTACTTTTTGTATTTTTATTTCTAAATTTTTTTATTTTTTATTTTTAAATAAAAAATCAACAATCATTGTTGAAATTTTTTAAAGCCAAACAAAATAATTTTAAAGAATGGTAATGGTGGTGGTCAATGTTTCTTTTTTGCAAAATAATAATAATTATTATTATTAATTAATTAATCGACACCAAACAACTCTTACATTTATTATTTTTTCGTCCATACAAATTATTTTGATAGAATGAAAATAAAAGATGCAATGAGCATTAAAAAAATATTAAACTTTTTAAATGGTACTCACGAAACCAATTGAAATTGTTCCATATATCTTAATATCATTTAAAGTGTAAAATCCTATTTTCAAAAAATATCGATCTGTAAAAATGAGAAATAATATTTTATTATTTAATAATTTTGGATACATTTAAAAAATCATCGATCTATCTCGAAACTTCATAGATTTGGGTCAAGGAAACCAGGGTTTTCAAGTGAGTCTCCTAATTAGGATTCGGGAATCTTAATGATCTAAAATGGGAAAGCAAACCAATAAACTAATGGAGCGACTGATGAATAGAAAAATGCTTAGATATGAATAGATAACATATAATAATTAGAAAGTCAATTCAAAAACTTTTCTTTTTTTTTTTCAGAAATTTTGACTTGAAATCACCACATGCATCACAAATTTCAAGTAAAATTAATCACATAAATGAATTTTAAAATAGATGGTAAACGGCTCAAAATCAATCAATTATCAGGGAACTTTTTTATTGCCAAATGGGTTGTCCGCATGGAAATCATGTTTTAGCAATTGGAATTAATTGCTTTTATGTTCTTGAATGGCATGGTTGAGAGTAAAAGCTAATGGTACATGTTCAAAGGAAAATTATTATTCATTGTGATGAAAAAGTAGTTGAATATTTTATATAAAGAAGGATTTTTTTTTCAAGGGAAATGGCATGATTAAATATATGTTCTTAATAAGGGTATATTAGGCAATAAAAAATTAATAGCACTTGTCTTGTTAACCGAGAAATGCAATCATTTAAAAATATGATTTTACTTATAAAGTGTGTAAGTGGAGTTAGGTTGATGAATTTTAATACTCCTCAATGGTATTTTTGTTAGCAAAATTCGTAGTAAAAAAATACTTTCTTTTTTTACAAAAAATAGTTCTTTTTTATTTATATTTATCTATAGTTCTTTTTTATTTATATTTATCTTAAAATACTTGTTTAGTCATGTTTTTAATATTATATTTTTTAAATACTCCTATTTTGTAATACAGAATTAAATGGGGTTGATTTTCTTTTTAAACAAAAAAAGTATTTTAGAAAAATATTGTTGAATAATGCTAATATAATATTATAATTAATAAATTTCTCAAATTGTACGGAAAGTCAAAGAAGACTATCTCCTTTGAATAGAAAGTTTTTTTTTTTTTACTATATCAGTTTTGGTCACAGATGATGTTTTAAAACCAATTAAAAGAAATTAATATAATTGATTCAAAAATATATTTTCTTTTTTAAAAACAACACTTTTATAGTTGGGAAGAAGTACTTTGTCCACTCCATTTTTCATGAAGATTTATAACTATATTTTAGCTTTTCTCTCTCTCTATATATATATGTGTATATATGAGAGTCTCAAATTTGATCACTATTGTCACATTAATTTTTATGATTATCCTCCTCTTATCCGGTATTCTTACGAGACAATAACTCTAAGAAAGGAGTGAAAATCCAAAATTCTTGAATTATTTAATAATTTAATAATGGTAAGCCTAAGAGTAATTTGATTTGAAATCTTGAACTATTTTTATTAATATTATTACTATTTCATGAACAGATGGTGTGGTTAGCAATTAATGCTTAGAGGGTAGTTTTGGGGACCGGATTGGCCACTATATAAAGTTGAGGAACTACATTACCATCTTAAAAGATGCCGTTGTTGCTCAGGCCAAGTACTAGGGCCCATGGTTGGCGAAGTGAGAGACCCACCAGTCCACGAGCCTAACTTAGTTAGCATTCATAAGCCTAAAAGTTCCAACCGGTCCATGAGCCTAATCTAGTAAACTTACTACACTACATGCATTAAAAGCCAGGGTCCTTATAAACAATAAAGCACGGACATAGACACGTGGCAATGCTTTAGTGGAATTTTAAAAATCACATGGGATGAGTCTTCTGCTTACGCGTGGCAAATTTAGTTTAGATGGAGTTGGACACGTGGTAGGTAGCTTTCAAATTTTTTCGGTCTTTACTTCACTTTTCCGCTGTGAAGGCTCCATTTGACAGCACAACAACCAACCAATAACAAAACCCGTATTAGCTTTTAACCTCAGGTGTAAGAGAATTAATAAAAAAAATAAGTCTTTTGAACTTGAAAATTCATGTAAATCTATCACTATTTTATTTTTAATTAATTAATAAAAAAAGAAAATATTTCATAGACCCACCCGGACGCCAAAATTAATTAGAACCCGAACCTTGTTTAGGAGGCGTCAACCCCATCCCTACCCTGCAATCGTTACGTAGTAGAGTGCAATTGATAAACAAGGAGTCAATCTTATTTTGTTATTTATTATTATTATTATTTTCTTATTTCCTTTAGGTAAGTCTCAACTGCAAAATAAAATAAATTAACCTTGAGAGTGCAATTGCTTGTCAAGATGATATTTTTATTTTTTAAAAAAATCAACACAATATTCTCTAACTTAGTTAAAAATTAAAGAAATGTAAACACTATTGGTTTCTCTCCCAATCAAATCATGGCTCGAAGATTTGTTTATGGAAGTTCAAATAGAAGAGGATTTTTTAATCACTTGAAAGGTAATTTATAATATTTTTTAAAAATCCTCTATTCTTTTTAATTTTGAGATCAAGGAAGAAAGTAGAGAGAAAAAGAAAAAAAGAAAAAAAAAGAGAGATGTATAACTTTAAAAAGACAGAGTAAGAAAGTTTCAACAAATACTAGTCATGATAAAATTTCGGATTCGTTAATTGTTAGATCAAGCTCAAATTTGATGGGTACATATAGAAGAGACAAACACATATCCTAAACGGATCTAGTTTTGATTCCCAAAGAGTGAGGTATGATGCTCGTAATATTATTATTTTCCGGTGAAATCTAAACTTAAGTTCTTCTCTTTTCTTTGTATATCATCTATTGACGAGATCCGCCAATGATGTATAACTTTTAATACTTATGACTAACGTATTCCTCTAATTTAATCTAAAAAGAACTTCTTATATTACCAATTATTGTTACCGGTAAAAGTCTTTATGGACTCCGATCATGTGGTTTTTCTTTCTTAAATTGATGAGGTTTTTCACGTAAAATTCGTGTGTTTTTTATGTAATTAATATTTGATTTTTCAGATTATTAGTTACTTATTTTACCTTGGGTATTTGTTTATAATCTTTATTTGATTATTCAAGTGAGGATAAAGAGGTTTCATTTGTGTTATTTGTGTTTTTTTTTTTTTTTGTCCAAGAAAAACCAATGAAGTAGAGATGTAATTGTAGTCCGGAACAACCAATAAAAATTATCTGAGGCCATTACAGTCATCTCTAAATTAGATAATGCAAATATTATGGATAGTCTTTTAAGAAAATAAATTAGGCTACTTCAAAATTTTCAATTATCAACGAGATCGTCCTAAACAATATTTTTTTATTAATAAAATCAAGATCAACTAAATCCCTCGTCATAATAAAAATTAAACTTGATGGATTGTTGGGTTACAATAATATATTGGTAACATTTCTGTGTTAAGAAGGTTTGGACTATAGTCTATATAACGAGGATAACATCCCCAAACTCTATATTATACTTAATTCTTCCCAAAGTTTGAAGAGCTTCGAAGGAAAATCCAAATCCAAACTTGCATATATTCTGTGATTGAATGATGGAAAAAAAGTTCCCGGGAATCATACTGATAATAGTTCGAAGGAACCTACCTTGTTTAGGAGGCGTCAACCCCATCCCTACCCTACAATCGTACGTAGTAGGTCTGATCCATCCCATTTGATTTTGTCACCATTAATTTCAGAAGAAATTATTCCTGCTCAACCATCATACCATATTCCTTAGCCCCTAGGAGAGGAGATTGCTTGCTGAGAAAATCAAGTGTTGGACGAATTGGAGACACAAGAATATCGAGGACAACACAGAGAAGATTCTTTTCCACAGAAACTGGTCAGAGTATATTTGTTCTCTTCTGCAACAGGGATTTAAATTCTAGTCCCAAATGTTTAAGGATCGATCCACACATCAGCGAAATATATATAAAATAACTGTGAATTATTTAAACTTCAAATACCATTTTAATTAGTTGGCATAATTAACCTAATATTTCACGGTGCTGCTTCGATATCTTAATTAGTTGGCCCTCTTTATCCAAGTGGTTGGTTTTTATTCATGATTATGGGATGTGATCATCTGAAGTTTGATTTGCATCTATTCACAACTATTTCTTTTGCTTTTTTAGGTATTAGCTATTTATTGAAAAAATTGAAACTTTAATTTGAATACAAAACTCCTTTTTTTTTTTTTTTTGCAAGCATTGTTAATTAACTACAATTCCACTAGTCCCTTGCACGGAGATTTATTTGTGCAATTTTTGTTATGTTTTTATTTTTATGATATTGTTCAAATTAGAGCTAAATTATTGTATCTTACTTTTATATTGTTGTATTCTTCTTTTTGTTATTATCGAAATAATTATTTTTTAGAATTTTAACAATAATATGAAATGAATTTGTAACATTTATATATAGTTGAGGTATCTCCAAGTTGATATGCAAGTGCTTTTTAGAAATGAAAACATATATATATATATATATATATATATATATATATATATATATATATATATATATATGAAAAAGGTCAAGAAGAATTTTTATTTTTTTTGAAACATTAATGAAGATTTTAATATGAAAATAAAAAAAAGAAATGAAATTTGGAGGAAAAGAAGAAAAGTCAATAAGAGATTTATGAAAATTTGTTATTTTTGCTTAATTCTATATTCTCTACATGCAAAATGGTTCTCTCTCTCTCTCTCTGTTTTTTTTTTTTTTTTTTTTTTTTTGGCTCCTCATTCATTTTCTATCAAATTTCATCTTGAAATAACAAATCATCATAAATTTTAGTGACATTTTTTTAACTTCAAGTTTCATATTTTTTATTTTTTGAAACGTTAAAATTTGCATAGAAAATCTTGATTAGGTAGTTGTCCAAGTTCTTTACCTTTCATTATTCAACATGAGCACTAAAAAAAAGATGAAATTATTCAATATCATAGTTTATGTTCTGTGATATATGATCAATATATTGACATGAATGTTATATAAGTATTTATCGAATTTTAAAAATCACATACTGAAATAAAATGAACATTCTCCATGTATATTCAATTTAAATTCTTAATTATTCCTAATTTTTTGAAGCAATAATATAAACGATATCATAATTCAATTACGAAAGGCATCGATTGAAAACTAATAGGAAAATTAATATGGATGTCAATGGTACATAATTGAATCCCTATACTATCATAACGTTTATTCGACAACTTCAAAGATTTTAGTGTAAGTTGATATAATATTAGAGAGTTGTTTTTATTATTATTATTATTATTATTATTACGACTTAACAGAATATACTCAATATGCATCTAGAGTTTATAACATGAGTTTGCAATTGATTTAATAAAAAACAATTAACAATTAACATATTGTAAGAAATTGTGATTTACTTTACATTTTTTTTCATATTTTGTTTTCTTCAAACTTGATACCTATTTTTTGAATTTCTTTCTTTTTTTTATGTATACATGGAGAAAGAGAGATCCATTTACGTTTTATTTTTTAAAAAATATATGGTGAAATATTATTGCGGGTAATGAATGTTCAGACCAGTCTCTCTCAAATGACAAATACCATGCATGGCTACCAGTATATGAATGCATGCATTAAGTTGCATACGCTGCCGGCCAGCAGAAATTTGAAGAACTGTAGTAATACTGAAAGTTGGAAATGTACAAGGCTTTCCTTTTTTTTCTTTTTTTTTCATATTTTTAAGGAAACACAACACAACTTCATTACAAGAGAGGATCAAAACAGATGCATCTCTGGTCCAATTAAGGCTACTACTATAGATGCAAATCCAAACCTAATCCCTTATGATGGTCAACATCTTCTCTAGTGAATCCACTCACTGGAAAAGCTTTAGCACGAAGCCCAACCTCGCCGCCAACCAAACTCTTTCCGTCCAAACACCTTCCAGGAAAAGAAGCAGGCCCATTAAGATATGGGCTGCCATGCGACATGCGTCCCAAGTATGACGTGTAAAACCATGGAGGGGAATGGGCATGCTGTTGCATTACCGCCGGAGCCGGAGCCACCGCCGGATCAAGGAGATGAGGTTGCGTTGGTGAAAACGTCGAGAACATAGAATTTGGTAGGGTAACATATGAAGCTGCAGCCAAGCTGCGGGTGGCTTGCATCTGTGCACGTTTTAAAAGTTGTCTTTCTTTCTTGTGAGCATTTTGGTGACCACCTAGGGCTTGAGAGTTTGCAAACTCACGGCAACAATATTGACACTCATATTTTCTACCTTCGGAGGAGGGTTGGAAACTAGTCTCTGATTCTTGTGACCCAGATGGAGATTTGCTTGAATCTAAAGGTACTGTAGGGTTGTTCTCTGAAATGTTGAAGCCAAATAGTTTTAGGGTTGTGTTGTTGCTAGTGATAGTATTAGATTTTGTGTGACAACCAAAATCCATGAGAGAAAAAGAGAGAGAGAGAGAGAGAGTCTGCCTACAAAAGAATTTGAAAGATGGAAATCAATGAGCTAGGGGGTGAGTACATATGTTTGTGAGCTAAGTACTTATAAAGAGTATATAAAAAGGTTAAAACTGTATTTATATATTATCTATAGAAAAAGAATATGATCCAGAAGTTGAGACATGAAAAGAAAGGGAGATCTAGTTGGTTTTGAAAATCGCAAGGACAAGATGAGGAGAAAACAAGGACTAAATATATTCAAGAAAATCCTCAGAGCAAGAAAACTAGCTATGACCTAGCCCTATAAAGATTATTATAGCTTGCCCTGAAGGGAACCATCAGAACTCTTTATAATAATATACAGAAGCCAGACTTCGTACGATTGACTTGCTACCATGTGACATACACAAAATGATAAGGGTATTTATGCTAGAGATTCGATACAATCTAACACCACCTCCCTCTCTCTCTCTCTCTCTCTCTCTCTCTCTCTCATCAAGAATGGAAAAACATGTGTTAGATATATTTAGTTAACAATGTTTTTCATGTGTATTTAGCTAATCATTTATAGTATCTATAACCGTAGATTTGATGTATACTTAAATTAATATATAATTAATTTGTTCGAACCATGAAAGTTCAAACACTTCACCAGACATAAAGGGGTTAGGGGTTAGATTAGAAAAATGAAACCTAACATGATTTGTTGTAGAGGAAGACTTGTTTTAGGGTGGAAGGTTTAATTGTCAAACAAAAAGGGAGAGAAACAATGGTTCCCATAATTGATCAAGTGTGCATAAGGGACCACCGTGACAAATTATGCATGCCCTAAATCCTGGATGTTTGCGTGATTGACGTTGAAATCTAAGCTTTGTTTATTCAGAGAAGATCTACTCGTATCTTACTAACTACCATCATTTCTTTCTTTCTTTCTTTCTTGATTGTGGCTGCCACGATTCATTATGGAAGATTATTGCGTAAGTCTTGACTAATTATGTAATTGAGCATGAAAGAAGCATGAATTAATGCATGTGGACAGTTGGAAGTGTGAGACAATGAGAGTGTGAGATCGAGTGTTGAATTAGCTTCTCGCTCTTTTTGTCTTGACTCGCATGAACCGGAATTTTGCGATAATTTTTATAATAACAACAGGATTGATGTAGGTGCCCGGCCAATTTAAGATCCAATAAAGAAAGGACTAAATTAATCTCAATATTGTATGAAAATTGATCACAAAATTCGAGATGCAAAGGATATTCTTACCATTAAAGTAAAATTAGAGACAAAAACTCAGCTCACACATAATACGTAGGGGAATGGAGGGTTAGAAAAACCATTTTTGCATGTGCAAATTTGTCGGCGAAATCGTCCCTAAACATTTTCGGTACATTGCATGTGTAAGAGTTTGACAATTTTGTCAAGCAGAAATTAAGGAAATCTCTAAAAGACTGATCAATCCATCCAATCACAAAGTGTAGTTTTAATCCGAAATTTGCGTAATTAAAGAAGAAGTTTATATCAGTTTTTTTATTTACATGAGACATGCCAATATTAATTTGGTTCATAGGATCATAGTTGTGAGAAGTAAAACTTTCTTAAGTTCTCAAATTTTCAATATAGTTTTTATTTTAATTAATTAAATTCGAGAGATGAATTTAGTTTAATTTGATGTATGAAATTCAGTCCGAAATATTATTTTCCTTCAAAAAAAAAAATTATGAAGACCATCTAAAAATTTGGAGATATTACCGAAAAAATTCTTTATTGTTTTCAAAATGTCTTTAATACTTAAAAATTCTCCTTACTGTTGCATGCATGATTTTAATCTACTAAATAAAAATTAATGATTTTAAAAATATTAGAGGTAATTTGGATATAAAAGAAAATTTTTGTAATATTTTCTCAAAATTTTGAGTAGTCTGTATAATTTTAAAATGCTTGAATTAAAAAAGGGTTTATTGTAAATATTCGCCCAACAATGCAACAATAAATCCAATAGAAATAGCATCCATCACCATCCGTTTTCAAATAAATAAGGAAATTAAGTCTCCCAAAGTCATCATCAGAACTTCAAGCCAACGTCTCATCTTGTCTATTAATTCCTTATAGCTATATTAATTGTAGGGCTTGTTTCCGATAAACTTTCACATTTGTGCCTTTTCTTAATTATAAACCACATAACAGATGTAGTTTAGAGAAATATTCAGAGTAAATATAGTAAATTTACTCATATATCCTTATATAATATTTAAAACCTCTTAGTTATTCTTAAATTTTTAATTACATTGTATTCGTTTTTGAAAAATTTGAAAACGTTCAATCTGTCCTTCCGATCCAATTTTTCGATCATGAATTATTAATTTTTTTTACCAAAATGTCTTTTACTAAAAAAAAAAAACATTTAAAATCTCATGACCTACATAGTCTATTTTTAAAATCTTTATTTTTTTATTTTTTATTTTTTACATTTCAATTAAGAGATTTTAGGTTTAAAAAATTATTTAACTGAAAAAATTGATCAAAATGACAAATTAAACATTTTAAATATTTTTAGAAATAAATAAGATATAATTAAAAACATAAGTACATGTGAAATGAGTATTATATAAAACATATGGAAGTATTTACTCAATAATTGTTACATAGTACTATTATATGCAATAAATCAAGACACATGACTCACAGGCATGCAACTTGGAAAAATTTTCAATGCACCCAACACAGCCCTATTTTACAAGATTTTTTTTTCCATCTCCGTAGTTCTTATAAATTAATTTGAGAATGAAAAACATATATATATATATTAGAGAAGGATGATTAATGAGACTGGTTAACCATTAATTAAACAAGTGCTACTCTATGGTTGCCTAGTCAATAAAATTGTATACATCAAGGGGCTTTACATCGCATGTAAGTAATATCCAACAGCAGTTTTGATTGAGTATCGACATACATCAAGATCCCCATATATTTAAATTAATGATGGTTACTATGCCAGGGTCGGCAAGATAATTAGTTGTTTTTAAATGAAAATGGAGTACGTAATTATCACTAATCACTTCATAGAAATGCATGATATAACCCATGGATGTGGATGGTAAAGTCATGATTCACCTTCAATCAGCTTCCCTCTACCATCAATCTTCAATTTTAAACCAAAAACACTAGCTTTGTAAAATTTGGATGAAGTTGGACAAGATGTTAAGAACACATGTCACTTAAAAATGCCAATTAACTTAATTGGAAAAAAGAATTAACATTAACAATGTGGCGACTAACAACTGAATAATTCACCTGTCTGTTTCATGAAATGGTCTTTGGTCTTTGTCGTGAAGTAGTGTGATAATATATGTCTCCCACCTAATCAGTAAAATACTCTTCGAGAGGTCATTGTTTGGCTTTTCTTGTAGTACTTCGATTGAACTGAAGCAGATGTTAACTTAAGAAGATTGCCCAAATCACAGCATGTCCCACCATGTTATTATTGGTTCTCACAAAGACCAATTTCTAGCTTCTTATGGAATGTGCCATGTCCGTCTATACAAATTTGTTAGCTTGCTAGGCTAAGCTAGCTACTAACATCAAACACGCACAGTGATAGCCTACTGCTTATTCTAATCTGTAGGATTGCCACATCGCTCTTTGTTTCAAAGTAAGTATTGACATTTTGTTCTGATCCTTTGGACATTGGATTCTTTCTAATATTTCTCTATAATTGATTCAGTTCCACAGTATTCACTATTTGCATAATGTTATAGTCAAAGTTATTGAATTTATTATTCTATTTAAATGCATTGATTTTCAAACCATTAATGTTATTATATATGGACATCTAGATCTTAGATATTTTAGTACCTCTCTCTCTCTCTCTCTCTCTCTCTCTCTATATATATATATATATATAATAAAAAATTATAATTATTACAAAAGAAAATACATCAATTCGTTTTTATATAATAATCTGAATATCTAATATTATGTTTTTAAGTTTTTAATTATATTTATTAAATATCTAAATAATGTTTAATTTTTTAATTTGACTTTTCAATCAATTTATCTGACCGTAAGTAAATTTTTTGATTAAAATGCAAAGGAAAAAAATAAAAATTACAGATTTAAAAAATAGAATAGGTAAATCATATGATTTTAAATAGATTTTTTTATTTATATTTTAATTAATGATATTTCGACTTAAGCTTGCTGGTTGTTGGTGTTGCTTGTGTGAACCCGTGTATATAGTAGGTACAGTACTGTTGGTCCAATAATTTAGAGCTACTAAAGCTAAAACAAGGATCCTAGATCAAGGTTCTAGAAGCATAAGGGTGGGTGAAGCTGTGGTCACACACAACATATACATACATATATATATATATATATGTTTCAGATTGAGGGCAAATGCAAGAAAATTATGTATGCACTTACACAATAATTAATAATAAATTGTTACCAACACGAAACACTTGGATCAGTAGAGTTTGATGGCATCATGATTAGAAAATGATGAAAAAAAAAAAAAAAGCACGCAGTGATTGGGAATTTGCGAGGAACATAGTGTGTGTTATTTTAATAGAGAAGCTTAGAAGTAGATTTGAAATTTGGAAGAACTTGTCTTTTAAAGAATTAAGAAGTAGATGCAAATGGTTGTGACAATTAATGCTCATAATTATACTAAGTTGTTGGGACAACGATTTCAAGTTTATGTCATCCTACCACAACCTTCCAAAGACTTAGTTGGATCGATCTGAGTTCTTTGTTGTTCCTTCTACTAATATTTCTACTAAACCCACACGCATTGCAATACTTGCAACATTCCTATCAAAACAGAAGAAAAACAAAATACACTTTCAAAACTATTGGAAACATAGTTGTTTATTGGTAGGAGATATGCTTTTTTTAAGATCAGGTCGAACCATCCAGTCGGATCATATCGATGACTTTGCACTTGATTTTTCAATTTTTTTAATGGATTTTTTTTTATGAAAAATTAAATATAATAATA